GTCTGCATCTTTCACTGGTGACTTGATAGCATTCGTATTGTCATTGGTTGCACCATCAGGAATTACTTCCTTATGATCTTCCATAAGAAATTGTGTAGTGTTGTAAGGAGCCAATGCATGACCACTTGCAAATCTCTCCTCTCTTTTCACACAGGCTCTTTTTGACTCTTTTTCATCTAATTCTCGCCTTTCCTCCCATGACAGCTGGTCATATGGCTTCCACTTCCTTTTGCTGTGATGTTTGCCAGCTTTATGTTTTCTACGATGTCGCTTTTTGCGGTTATTGTCCTCTAAAGAGTCATTGTTTATGTCCCCATCACGGGCCTCTTCTGAACCCCCATTGTGAGCCTCTTCACTTGGGTTTTGGTCCTGTTTTTCATCGCCACCAGAAATATCAGAAATATTCCCTTTCAAAGTCATTTCTTCATCGAATCTTTCATGGATCATCTGCCCCGATACATTATCATCCATGATGACACGTATCATGCTTTATCAACGACGCGTTAGTCCATAGATCTACTGAAACTGTACCGTATTTATTTATTCATTTTACTTTGTTTCGGTTAATCTACCGGTAGGTGTCGCCGTAAAATGCACACTGAACGAAACTGATATAGACGATTGTGTTTCCTATTGGTTGTGCCGTCAGCAAGGATATTGAAACCACAGAAATATTTGTATCAACATTTTGATGGAGTAAAGTGCAAAATAAGTTCATGCGTGTGTCCTTGGCAAGTCGTGAACAATGTATGCAATACTGGTAACTTATCCCGTTCCATGACTATCAGTGGCGGATCCAGGAACCATCAGGGGGGGGGGGGGGCCCAAATTTGAGATCAGCGAAAAAAGTTCCGCCCCTAAAACCGAAAAGTGGGCCCAGATTTTGAAAATTTGAGGCCCATTTTCTTCAAAATTTAGCCTAAAATAAAAAAATAAGGCCTTAGAAGGCCCAATAATGACCAAAAGGCCCACTTTTTGGGGCCTTAACCTCCTGAATACCCAGAGTGACGGATATATCCGTCACAAATGAAATAAGATTGGTGCCCAGAGGGACGAGAAAATCCGTCACAAAATTTTTCACAAAAATTGCTCTCATTTGAACAATTTTCATCCACTTTACACAAACATTGTTTTAAAACGTGTAGAAATGATCTCTGCCGTCCAATTTTACTAAGCTGAGCATCTAAAGTTGTGTAATAAAATGTCAAAAGGTGGCAAAAAATGAAAAATTCTCTGGTTTCATGCCAATTTTAGAGCCTGGGATTCAAGAGGTTAAGGCCTTTTTTGGCCAAAAATTTTTTTGGGCCCAACTTTTTTTTTCTGGGCCAACCTTAGGGGGGGGCCCGGGCCCCATGCCCCCCCCCCCTGGATCCGCCATAGACTATAGTTATAGTCTGGAACGGGATAACTGGTAACCTACCATTAGTCAGCCTACCATTGGTGTCGGAAAGCCCGGGGAGCCCCCCCCCCCTTCCCAGATTTTTTAGATTTAAACCGAGAGCTCTAGCTTATTAAAGTCAAAGTAGATGAATCGATACTATGTCAGTTGATATAGTCTACATCCAGCATATATTATACATAATTCTATACCGAAAGTCCATGCTTTGAAGAATACTTAGTGCAAAATGTATACTGTAAAAGCATGGGCTTGAAAGCCCATGGTAAGTTTTTTTCGTCAAAGTCAAGTTAGTTTTCTATGTGACACATTTTTTCTTGTTTTTTTATTGGGAATGTTTTGTTGAGATATGTTCAGAATGAACCAGAGAGGGTTTAAATTTGAAAAATTTCTGCCGGGGGGCATACCCCCGATCCCCTAGATTGAGCTTCGCGTGCGGTGCTCTTCACGCATGACCCATCCAGACCCAAAAATCGCCCCCTCCCTTGGCAAATCCTTCCGACGCCCCTGCCTACTATTTTTATTCATCATAGTTACCTAAATGTTAGTCTCCCATTGGCTATTATTGATTGAACGCCCATCAAACTCAGTATGCAGTTAAATAGGATCTGGGGCAGGCCCAAATGGTTCAACACTCATCTTTATAAACGTAGGCGATAAATTCGGTTACTGATAAAAATCTGCCTCGAATAATTAATCAATCCAACGCGAGGTGTAATGTTATTGACAGTATTTAGCCATGGGCTTCAACAGTCTCTTGAACATGTCAACTACAACATCACTTGAGACCAACAGTTATCTCTAACACTATCCTCGTCATCTGGACACATTCGTCTCACGAGACAAATATATCATATAATTCAATGTGAATTTAAATCAAACCCAGTAGTAGCATGGGACAAACTGTCCGGGGAACAAATTCCCACATTCTTCAATCTCAGCCATCTTTACAAAAATACCTTTTAACAGAATTTCAAAGTTGAAAATTCAAAAATACTAACTTTGCGCGGTATTTTTTTGAGATTTAAGGCCCATTTTTGATAATTTGGCCTAAAAAAGGCCAAGTAATGCCCAAGAGGCCCACTATTATTGAGGCCCTACTAAAATTTACTGGGCCCGACCAAGGGGGGGGGGGGCTCTTGGCTCCTCTTCTAATTTACAAATTGTCCGATACATCGCAGCGTTACTTTCCCACATTGTATTGAAATGTTTGTATTTTCTTTATAATCTTTAGTTATATTTTTATACTTTATACTTCAATTAGCATGTCATTTACAAATGATAATACTGAACATTTCCTTTCATCGACATGAGCCATACATGTATTGAATGCGCCCACCGAGGACTGGTGGTATTTCCGCGGCTTGATGATGAAGTCAGTATTTCCCTCTTTTAAAGGTCCATGGGCATGAGGGCTCACAAATAAATCCACATACGAGACGCCCAAGAGGCGTAATAGCGAGAAACTCGGGTAAAATTGCCGAGAGGTTAAGCTACACATTTTCATGGGAATTTGTCTGTGATCGTGTAAAACTGTTTCTTTGGGGATTGGTTGTCCCGTTCTTAGTATGTATTCGCACATCTGAGCATAAAGGTTTAAGGAAAAATATAATTGTTCGGTCCCTGGGAAGATAATTTGAGAAGCAGAAATCATTGAGGTCACAATATTACACGTTCACGTACAATATTGCAAGTTGTAGCTTATCCTCCCAGATGTCAATAAAAAACACAAGTCGGGACACAACTAACACCAGCCGGTGTACATATGCATATGTGAGACTGGTTATATCCATGATATTACCATAGGATTAAAATGTTTCGAATGTTTTTTTCTGCACTTTTTTAAAAATGTTAGGCTTATTTTCCAAATAAAGAAGATCTTGTTTTTCTCAATTTAAACAAATCAAACGTTTCTTTCTACATTATATAAACAATTTCTGAAAGGGGAATGGGTATTGAAATGCGCTTTTAATAAAAACCACATATCCCATTTCATGCTATCCATTGTTTTCAGCATAATTTTGGTCATCGCCGAAAATTGATATCAAAACTAGACTTCCAATACCATTCTACTTAAAGAAGTATTTGACCCTTTGTTAAATAATCTTTTCATGCAATAAAAATCAGAAAAAGAAGATCCTCTTTTGAGTAGATAGGTTTAACATTTTGAAATTGTTGACATGGGGTCCCCATTCATAATTTTTCGAATTGTTCGATTGATTTTTATCATCATGGGGACTTCATGAAAACATATTTGAAAGTTCAAGCTAGCTATAGCTATTTTTCACAACGGAACCGTGAACGCAAAGCCAATGAATCAATACAGTAATGTATTCGCGCATACAAAACAAGCGCTACTTAGTCTACTTCAAATACCCCTATAAGCTTCAGAGCTGTGTTTAGAACGGGAGATTTGCAATTTCGCGACGTTCTAAAGCTCTGAAGATGATAGGGTATTTGAAGAAAAATAGCTAGCTAACTTTACCCTGCGTGCAGAGTCTAGTTAAAAATCAAACGAATGCAAAGGGTAAGCTAGCTTGAACTCTCAAATATGTTTTCTTGAAGCAATTTTTTTGTAAGTAAACACTAACTGAACGATTATCACAGGCTGGTATCGAAATATTTGTCCGCTGTGACGGAGCATGCTATTTTTCATAAAAACACTAAGAATACTTCACGATTTATTTTTTAACTCACATGTTTCGTTATACCATACAAAATTACTTACTCCATGCAATGGATATATCATTTGTGGGTAACTTTCACTTCTGTTTGAAGTCCAATTACGCTGGGAAGAAAAGCTATTGAAAATGGCACCGGAGTATCATACTTCAAAATGTACCATTTCTTGTTTAACTTTCTAATGGCACGATATAGTGACACGATAATATTTACACATGGTTTCAACATAACTATGAAGGTATAAATGAGATGTTGATGTATTTGGTCTTTTTAATTCTTCTATAGAAAATAATGTTTAATTTTTTTTGTCCGCTGTGACGGAGCAGTTGCAAATGTGAACTGTGAAAATGCTCCGTCACAGCAGACAAAAAATATTAATATTATTTTTTATAAAAAAATTAAAAAGACCCAATGCATTAATATTTCATTAATACATTCAGAGTTATGGTGAAAACATATGTTAATATTATCGTGTCACTATATCATGCCATTAAAAAATTAAAAAAGAAATGGTACATTTTAGGCGCCGTTTTCAATAGATTTTACTCCTAGCGTTATTAGACTTCAAACAGAAGTGAAGGTTACACGCAAATGATATATCCATTGCATGGAGTAAGTAATTATCTTTGATATAACGAAACATATGAGTTAAAAAATAAATCGTGAAGCATTCTTAATGTTTTTATGAAAAATAGCATGCTCCGTCACAGCGGACAAATCTTTCGATACCAGCCTGTGATTATTTATGTGAGAAAACTACATTCATTTGTATAGTGTAACTTGTGCGTACAAGTTGACGTTCCGATTTTATATGCATTGCTTAAAGTCTCAATTGTTTCAATAAAAACCCTGTATTTATGGCCAGACCGTACTCATGGTGAACGGACACTCTATTTTTCTACTTCCTTTGAACAAAGGCTATGATTAATATGGCACTTTATTAACTAAGCATTCATGTAATTAAAATACTTCACAATGGGCCAAATCCTAGTGGGAGCCCATACACCAGTTTCAATGGTAATTCTGGTTCAAATAAGTTGTACATTCTCTGTGAATACGTGACGAGTGACAACCCATATTTTTCTATTAAGGCACAACCAGATGTGTTACGATCGGGACACAATATCTGGGTCTTCTTTTTATTGTCTGCTTTACTGTGAAGATTGTTCAATAATGCATTAGCAGTGGTTTCATCATCTGCATAATACGGTCCTATAAAGTTGTAAACATTTGCAAAATGCATGGTTGCAAACCCACATATTTCATTCGCTTTCTTTTGAGCAATGATACTATATGATTCATTATTAAAACAATACTCTTTGATAAACGTAGGTCTATAGACTTGGCCAATGGAGGCATCATACTCGGTCAGTTTGTCAAAGTGGACTTCATCAGCTGGTACAACTCGGACATCACCTGGGGACTTATCATTATCATCCGGTATAGTTAGAAAGCCTTCGTAGCAGTTGCGTTTAAATGAAAGAGCAGTACCGGGAAAACTTTTGTATGTTTCAATAAGATGTTTTCTAACATCATAAGCGACATTCTGACTTCCAATGCTGTTAGTATAGTTTATTTGTAAGGCTTTGAGGACACACCCACCACGCACATCGCTATCCACCACGCATAAAGAAGCAAATGCTTTTTCGGGAGTTTGGACGCAACCGGCATAGAGACCTGAAAAATAATGTTCGATTGAGTAACCCAAAACTCATCATTGCGTTCGAGAATTTTGAAATGCTCCTTGTAAAAAGTTCAAATGGAAGGACAATAACACTAGAAAATTCTAGCGATGGTTCTAGTAAATTGTTATTAACAGTGTAAAGGCTTACCAAGAATTTTCCCATTGGTTGATGTGGCTGTAAAACATCTTTTTAGGTCATACTTGCAAATGGCTGACACCATGCTCTCTGTGTAGCCCCACTTCAAGCTAACTACCCAGGCAGCGAAGACAGGAATGTCTTCCTCCTTCATCGTCCTGATGATAACATTTTCACGCAGTTTCTACAACATATTATCAAGAACATATTGTTAAACTAACCTTGATTTTCATCATTTATGTTGATATTATTTCTGAAAATATGATATTGAAGCCAAAATAAAAGAAGAAAGACTCCGGGACTTGCCAGATTGAGAGTATGTTACATTTCTGAATCGTACATGGCATTTTGCAATCCGCGCAACAATTTTTTTTCAATGGTTGAGCCATCAGAAATGGTACGGTGTTTTTATCTAAAATATGAGTGTCTAGTACAAATGATAAAGGTACTTTAAATTGTTAAATTCAAGCGCATAAAATTGCAACCAATCAGTTTTAAATATTTAAAGCATGATAATCACTTATTTGTTATTTTCAACTTAGATCGACCGACATTTGTAAAATGCACAAATTTGAAAATACTATAAGAAATCCAATATTGCATGTATGCAAATGCAATATTAAAATAAAATGGTTGATATAACCTGCTCAGTGAGTGTAGATGGTCTCAGATTCCTACTAGTGTTGCATTTGATGACCTAAAACTTACATATTCATTGTTCCAACTAGATGCAAATGCCGTATCAGAGTCCCGGTCACAGTTGGCTTCATTTGAGGTGGATGTGCTGTGAATGAAACGGTAGAGTATATGTCTTCTTATAGCAGATAATCTAGAAACACTCCCCGCCATGGCTGATCTTTATTTCCATTCGACCATCCTTTAATGTTCTATCTTTTCATCCTAGCTGCAGTGGTCTATAATTCAGGACAGAACTATATTTTAGTTATCACTATCATGTAAGCTTACTTATTTTTCTTCATTACATAATTCTATTCTTGCAAAAAGCTCCATGAATGAGCCTTATACAAAAGAGAAGGCATCATCAACGTTGTTAAATACCACATCATGCCGCAAGTCACCATGAGTTAAAATTATCGTAAAGGCTAGAGTACCGACAATTGTCGGTACTCTAGACTCTGATGTGGTGGCACGCTAGAGGACCGACAAATAAATTGTCGGTACGGGAGATATGCTGAGTTTACACGCTAGAGGGCCGACAAATATTGATTTTCGAATTTTCTGGCGCATGCGCAATGCGCGGGGGATATTTCAGATATCATACGGATATTTTGGGAACAGGTGCAAAATCCGGGGAGGGCATTAGCCCCGGTTACCCGGGGATTACCAAACCCAGTCAAAAAATGGTAGGCCGGGAACAGGGAATGGTGGTAAACGTTGAAAACCCAATAAAAAACATGAACAAGTAAGACGTTAGAGAGCTATTAATGCAGAGTAAACGGCTAAACAGACAAGATATTTCTCCTGAGCCGATCAGGCGTAGAAAGGGGCGTTTGCTACCCATTAGATAGAAGAAAATAGCTAGAATGTTTTTTATTTGAAGCTTATCGTATGGTATGAGGTTCCATATCCATCCGCCAAAAAGTATATATAGTCCATTTAAAAACCTGTGGTATCGTTCTAAATAACCCATAGTTGGCTTCTAGGGTACCCAGTATGCCACTATTTGGTATCAAAATAAAGAGGAGTTCAACTTTCATTTGAATTACGAAAATAGCGATGTAGGTCAAAATAGTTCCGAACGTGAGCATGTTTACTACGCGTTTGCCCGTCATATCAGAATTGAGGAAGTGGTAGCAAACGCGAGTTACAATAAACGGACGCTGATATCTCAAAAAGTAACCTGACTCCCTATAATTTGATGTAGGTCAATCGAACCCCTATATGGACAGGTGCATTTTGATATATAACACTATGGGTGGTAAGCGTTTCATAGTTGGTCATGAACGCCATATGTGCAAAGTATTGTTATGAATTTTCGAATTTGGTGTTGGATTACGGTACTCATACCTTATAGCACAATTTTTGATGGAAGTTGCATTTGGCTCACTGAGTTAATGGCCACGATTCCATCTCGAATGAGAGAGCTACCAAACGCAAAGTAAACAGTGATATATTCCAAATGAGCCTATTTTTCCTGTGCCATGGCGTAGTAAGGGTAGAGGTCGACGGGGGCAAAAGCATCCCCTCCCCTAACTGTATATATCGACCCATTAGATAGAACAAGAAAAGAGCTTTAAAATGTTTTTAATTGAAGCTTGTAGGACAATTTTGATGGAAGTTGAATCAATTTTTGTCGAAATAAATTATGGCTCACTACAAGTTAATGCCTGTACGATTCCATACTGCAAAAGAAGCACTATGCCTCCCCCCTCAAAAGAAAAAAATAGTTCCTGCCGGGATTCGAACGCGGGACCGAGCGTGTTCGAGTCGTGCTCGCTAACCACTAGACTACCAGTGATGAGGTTATCTCTAACAGTAAAAGTAGTGGATTTATTTATGAAATTGTCGGCTCTCTAGCAAAAACACGTAGCAGCCACTTGCGTACCGACAATTGTCGGTTCTCTATCTGGCACTACTAGGTGACGATAGAGTGCCGACAATTGTCGGTACCCCAGCAAATACCCCTGGACAGTCTCCAGTACCGACAATTGTCGGTCCTGGAGCCACTCCGTAAAACTATTGAAAACGGCGTTCGACAATGCCCCGTGTCCGACAATACAACTCTATACTTACTGCCGTCTGTTGATATTAGTTTACCAGCCGCCCTATTGCACTAACTGGTGGAGACGGACTCATTCATAAATGCCATATAAATTTTTTTATTTCACTGATTCTTATTTATTCATTCGAGATCATAAATGACTCAAAGAAAAATTAGCGGATGGGGCATCGGAATCTAAAACAATTCACCTTCCGAGTAACATAATAAGATGAACTGACAACGCCCAAAGCAAAGAATTGGAAAACAGAGAAACACCAGTATTTCTTACTACAACCATCGATGGGCTCTATCAGATGCTACAACCACAACATAAAATCTGTACGTTGACAAAACTCAGTGTACAGTAGTCTCATAATAATAGTGAAAATCATCGCAATACTTTCTTTAAAACTATGATTCACCAAATTCCCAGAATTTACATACCTGATGATTATAAAGCTATTATATGTTATATAGTGATAAAACTAAACCTAACTAAGGTTCAATAAACTGGCAAAGTGGGTCCAAAGTCTGGCATGCGCATATTGATCGGTCCCCATGGCATAACATTTAAGTTGCAAAACAAAACAAAACAAGGTAATTTCCTTACATGAACATGTTTCGGGGATCACATGCATCTATATACATTTTTGATGGTTATAGATTAACTTTGCCTAGAGCCTCGCAATGTAAATTAGACTCAAGTAGCACAGCCACCAGAATGGCCATATTGCTGGAGTTGGGGTGTGTCATGACCTATATTGGCCAACAAGGAAGTAAAAAGTAAAAAGAAGGAAATATGTTCTTTACCTTCCTTATCGGCTTACAATATAGAATCTATTCAAGTAAGTTTTATTCTTATAATAGTAAGTATATATACTGTCTTGTTAGATTGTTTTTGTAGTGCTTTGATAGAAGATGAGTGAACGAAATGTGATTCGAGAAAATTATCATCATCTGTTTTTCAATTTTTTGAGATAGAATTGTTTTCATGGCCTGACTTCGTCGCTAACATGCTAAATATAAGAGTTAGCTAACGTTTGGGAGTCTGACTTACCTTCTAAAGGTTAGAACCTGAATCTTAATGAAACCATATCACCTTTGCTGCGTCGATGATGATGCATAAACACAGCATTTGATAGAAATTAGTGTTAAGGTACAGCTGGAAAGTAACATTTTGGTAAAAAATTGCTATACCAGATGTTATTTTCTTGTACAAAATAAAGTATGCAGACATGTGTCAATTGCCTTGCTTTTTTCAGGAAAGTATCATTACATTGCCTTCTTTAAGAATATCTAGTAGGGGTTCAATGGTAGTATGTATCCAACAGACTGACTAGAAGTCAGTCTGTTATGATGTACTACTTTCCTGTGGAAATTGCAGTGAAATTTTTTGCACAAAATTATCAATTAGAGGAACCATTTCTTCAATAAAATGAGCATTACAAAATTTCAATTAAGTAGTAAGGTACAATTAAATACAATAAAAAGTAACACAGCATATTGTCAAGTGGAAATAAGGCTAGTTGAAGTAAAAATTTGCAAATTAATTTTACCAAATCGGCCATTTTGAATAGCACTTCCTATGTAAACAAATATTAAAAATTACCAAACTTTAACATAGGTGCCTTATAGTCTGAATATAATTCAGACTAAATAGGATATAGTCTAGGTTCAATGGGAACTCCAGGAAATTCTAAAATTCCACACTCTCTATTTTTCCAAATTTTCTTTCAAAGTTTCCAGACAACAGAAAATAACATGTGCAGGTATAGCAATTTTTTACCAAAATGTTACTTTCCAGCTGAACCTTAATGCTTTTCCGACTTTTTCATTTGTCATCAATGTTGTCTTCCGGGAAGGCGTTGTAGTTATCACGAAATAACGCATTGACCCTTGAACTTTACTTTGTTGACGTGTCAACCAAGCATGTCTGGTGTGAAAATTAAAAGAATACTAAGCAATGTTCTACATCCTCCAAGCTAAGTGAAGTAGCCAATATTTAAAATTACCAATTTCAAGTGAAGTACGCAACGAACGAAACTGCGTGATCTACACTCCCACTATTGGTCTGAACGAAATGCTACGTAGAAATATGAGCCATCTGCTGTATTAGTCGATTAATAGAGTAAGACCTGTTGGTGATGCTTTATAATTTAGACCAAAACATTGAAGAACAAACGAACCTGTAAATCGTGAACACAACGAACAAATATTCGGTTTTCACATATGTTCGATAATTTTTCGTATTGAAACTTCCGGAACTTACAAGGAAATCATTCATTTTCACGGTCAATGATTTACCTCTTGGATGTTGTGGCAAATGCTCCATGGTTGATGGAACAAAGGTGATATGGTTTCATTAAGATTCGGGCTCTAATCTTTAGAAGGTAAGTCAGACTCCCAAACGTCAGCTAACTCTTATATTTAGCATGTAAGTGACGAACTCAGGCCATGAAAACAATTCTAGGCCTATATGTTCTTGAATTTTAACATTTAATTAATGTCCCAAAGAGGAGATTTCATGGGCTGACTTCGTCGGTAGAACTTGAAAAATAAGATTTACCTGAAGATTAGGAGTCTTACTTACCCTCTAGAGGTTAGAACACACATTTCAATGAAACCCTATCACCTTTGTTGTTAAATATAGAGCATTTAGCACAATATCCAAGAGGTAAATTATGGATCGTGAAAATGAATGATTTCCTAGTAAGTTCCGGAAGTTGCAATACGATAAATTACCGAACATTTTGTGAAAATTGAATCTTTGTTCGTTGATTTTATAATTTACACGTGCGTGTATTCGTCTACACTTTGGTCTAAATTATAAAGCATCACAAACAGGTCCTAGAATATTAATAGACTAATACAGCAGACGGCCCATTCATACTTTCCGCACAGCATTTCATTCAGACCAATAGTTCAACTGTAGATCAGGCACTTTTTCTATCTTAGAACAGGCTATCCTCCTCTGCCCTGTCCTAAACTCGTCTGCAAAAGAGACCACTAAACATTATTTTCAAATATTTTAATTATTTTTACATCAGACATGGTTGGATGATATGTCACAAAATTAAAGTTCGAGGTCAATACAGTATTTCGTGATAGAGGCAACACTGTCCCGGAAGTAAAAATGAGGAAAATGGAAAAGTCCAAAAAGCATCAACACAAAATTCAATCAAGTACTGTGCTTATGCTTCATCATGAACAAAACATAGCTGATGTGGTTTCATTAAAATGTGTGTTCTATTCTCTAGAGGTGAGTAAGACTCCTAATCTTCAGGTAAATCTTATTTTTCAAGTTCTACCGACGAAGTCAGGCCATGAAATCTACTCTAACCTTTTATATTTTGATGCTTCTCTACCATGTTAAGGTACAGCTGGAAAATAATATTTTGGTAAAAAATTGCTATACCTGCACATGTTATTTTCTGGTACAAAATAAAGTATGAAGGCATGTGTCAATTTCCTTGCTTTTTTCTAGCTATTAATTTTAGCATATATAAGAACCTATAACACTAACAGTGAGAAAATACCATTAGACCTGTAGATTTGAAGTCATATCTAATAGAGATACCATTAAGTTAAGGATTTCCCTCAAAGCCAACTGTTTTGATAATAGAAGGAAAATTTATCAGTAGGTGTTAGCATTTATTTACCATGGTAGTCTAGACCATATTCTCTCTAAAAGACGCACACCCGACTTGAGTAACAAAATCAAGATAAAAATTTGAGAAAATAATCAGGTGATAAAAGGGTTTGTTCACTAACCACTATCAATTGAGCTGTTTCTGTGCATAATGCTGTTCTTGTTGTTGCTGTGTCTCCACAAGCTTTAAAACAATAACTATATTCATCATACCCTTGAAGTGACTGGCTAAAAGCTATACATGCATGTTAATTCTGACCGCAGCCTTGTGCAATATTCACATAACCATTCCACTATATTCCTATTATTCTCATATATTTTGCAGGCTGACAGCTAAAAAGATATTGAAACACAGAGATGGCATCCCCAAATAAGTTCAAGGCCCTCCAAGCCAAATTTCTCGAACAATCACCAGATGAGAAACCAGATCCACTGCCATCTTTAAAGCCTAAACCTGATCTGTCAGCTAAACCAGTAATAACCCCCAAACCAGCAGTTGGAACAAAACCTAGCATTCCAACAAAGAAACCCATAATTTCGCCAAAGGCAAGTCCAGCTGGGGATAAACCTGAAAAGAAACCTGGAATATCAACTGCAGCAGTCAAATCAGTAACAGTCAATAAAGAACATATCGATAAAGTCGAAAAGGAATGTAAAGAGTTACCCAAACGAGGGAGCACACTTAAGATTGCTGGTGTTTTTACTCAGAATGATACACAAGGGCAGAATCCCTCTCCCAAGCCAAAACCAATCCCAGTATCAAGAAGCACAAAGCCAATCAAACCACCGGATAAATCTTTACATAGAGGTAGTAAGTATATCCCAGACTCTCAAAAACCCAAATTAAAAGACATAGCAGCTTCATATAAATTAGGTAGCAATCAGAACAGTATTAATGGTGATAAATCTAGTGCAACTACTCGTGATCAAAATGGGATTGTTGTTAAGGCTGCTGATGAGTCCAAAGAAAATGAACCAGGGTTGAGTCCTGAAGCTGTAAAACAATTCAATGAAATAGAAAGTGTGGCTCTTTCACAAATAGAGGCAGAGAAAAGTGTCAAAGACAATAATAAAACAAATATTTCATCTGATGCTGAAAATGTAAAGGTGATACCTCCAAAATTTAAATTTTCACAGTCACATATTGAGCAATCAACTGCAGCTGATACAAAGGAGAACAATAATAGTGAACAATCTAAAGAAATTCAGAATGCAATACTTAAGGAGACTGACTCCGAAAAAGAACAAACAACCTCTAAAGCAAAGCCAGAAGAGGAAATCAATGTAAATCCAATTAAGAATACTCCACGTAAAAATAAGCGGTACCGTATGCGGCAGCTTCCAAAAGAAATAGGTGTGCCACCCAAAAAGCCAAATAAACCACCCATCTACAAACTTCCAGTGGTCGAACAGGAACCATCAGGCTCAATATTTCCTTTGGCAAAAAGAAAACTGCCAAGCCCTCCAAATGGTAAGTGTTATTGTTATTGGATAATATTTCATTTTTTAGGTACATTATATCAAATACATGTACAGTGTCCCAGTAATCAAAGTTACTTTTTAAAGCTACATTCCATGTCCAAGTAAATTGTAATGAGAGGTCCTTTATTGAAACTTGTTCATTTATTGTTAAAATAAAAGTCAGCATATGAATTAATGAATGCTGCATAGTACTTAGGTATTGTATAGAAGAGCTCTTAATGAACCATTCAGAAGAAATCAGTAAACATGCAATATGACCAACAATTTATTGATTCCTTTAAAATGCTTTAAAAACATGTATCTGTTTAAATGATGCCTACATGGCAAGGTTGTGTATTCAGATCAGGCAAACATTTACTGCGTTGTATCCAGCAGATATTCAGTTTTTTAGCATGTTCTATGTTGTTTCATCAAAGTCATCTCAACCCAACTACTTCATACAAAAACAATCCACGCATTGTGAAATATCTGTACACTGTCAGACTCTTATCTTTTGTCAGCACGTTCATAAAGGAAGTAGAATCAGTTGAGAATAAGTTTCAGATTGTCACAATTTTACAAATTGTTTTGCTCTCATCACATTTTTTACCTATTTTCTAAATAGTCCATGTGTTCTGACTATTTTTATCCTTTTAATTCTACTGTTATCTGACAATAATTATAAAAGGGGAACACTCCCCGAACCTTGTCTTTCCGAACCTTGTTGGAACAAAATAGCATATACAACATGTTTTTAGACTCTCAATATTATAGTAATACAAAGGAATTTTTGGTTGATTTTAAAAAAGTATTCAAAACATTAAAACAAAATCTCCCCAAAATAGATAAAAATCAAGATAAACCTTTTATTTCATTAACAAGATACTTTTTTAAAATCAACCAAAAGTTCCTTTGTACAATTACAATATTGAGAGACCTAAACATGTCGTTCTGTACCAATGAGGTTCGGAAAGATGTTTCATTTCACTCTGGAAACATGATACCAAGAACAAAACAAGTGTTTGATGTGTTTTTTAAAACAATATAGATGAAAGTATATATATATATATTTCAAATTATATTGTTACCATTCAAAAGATGACCATTAAATTGAAGATGTGTTAAATTTTTAGATTTTTTTCATGTCTGGTTTAAGAGAAACGTGTGTTCAAAAAGTTCTCCATATCTATACCACTCCTTTAACACGAGTCCCTGAAAACAACAGGCGATTTTGTGAAAACAACTGGTGAAAATCACCTGTTGCCTGCTGCTAATGAAACCCCTGTAATGACTATCAGTATCAGTCAATCATTTTAATTAATGTTTTTATGTTTTGTAGAGAATGATTTATCAAAAGAAAATAAAAAAGCTGTATCGCCACTACCCCCAATTCCTAGTCCCAATGAATCCAGTCCAGCTCTTCCACCACGTAATGCCAGGACTCCATTACCCCCTCCCCCAATCAACAAGCCACTTCCTGTACCCCCTCCCCACAGCGATGCTCCCCTACCCCCAGTCCCAGCATCATCAATGGCTCCTGATGACATAGCTGATAGTGATGGAGAGGTTTACAATGAAGTCGATTCACCACCTGCCAGTAAAGTAGCAAAGCAAAGAGTCAGCTTAATGTAAGTATTCACTTGTACTGAATATTTAGAATTGTTAAATGAGGAGGAAATTACTGAGAGACTTAATAACAAGTAAATTTTATATGTTTGACAGACGTAATGAAGATTGTCATTATTAAGCAACAATTTCTGAACAGGGAAGTTTATTATTCGCATGTTGAATTTAGTACCGGTTAAGTGGACAATAATTGGACACTGTTTTGCAATAAATTGGTAATTAATTTAAATATACACCTCAAGAATAGAAGAGATTTTACTTCACCTGACCTGTTGACCTGGCATTTTACTGACATTGACCTTTTTTGACCTGACATTTTACTTAATTTTCATTTAAAAATGATCAAATTTTAAATGTTGAAATGATTTCTTCTCAGTGTCAGGCAATTAGATGAACAAACGAAACAGAGGTGAGGATTTAGTTAAAAGATATAGTGTTAATGTAATAACAAGTTTAAAATCAGATAAGTCCCCTGAATAAAATTCCTTTTATCTAATATGTCTATATATCTATATATGTACTCCCTGTGATGTATTCCTTACCCTAACTTGCCCTCATATATTAAATATATATTCTTATAAAATATAAGTGAATATCATATAAGTCACCTAGGATTTTCCTGATTTAACATATAACCCCTATAGCTGTGTGTTTGATGTATTTATTTTAAATGTAATCAATCATATTATGATTTGGTCTGGTGAATTAAAAATTGTGATTTGTAAAAACCTGTACATAAAGAAATCTCATCTGGTTGAAAGTGTTCCTTGTAGATCTTTACAGAGGGATTTCCCTATAACACGTTTACTGTACATGTATGAATTTATGGAATAAATTGGTTCAGTAAAGAGGCTAAGAATTCAGTAGGTTTGGTGGGTTGCATTAACTCATGTTCTAAAAGCTATGGTGCAGTAATAAAACAATTTAACGTTTCACTCCAACTCTTCAATATAATAAATATTGTCCTTGCAACATTAACTAGGAATAATGAATTAAACATTGAGATTGTTGTCTATAAGTGGGATTCATCGGTTTTTTTGGAGCTGGCATAGGCTGCATATCTTTTGCATTCGTTCGACTTCGCTTCTAAAATGAGAGCCTCATCTTCACTCTTTCAGTTTGCAATGAATCTCTGAACTCACTGAGCGAATCAGAGTTTTTCGTCGAAAACGGATGACTTTCTATATATGGTTATTTTGTCTGACATAATCACATAATTATTGTGCACGCATTAAGCACTTGTTCCTTTCAGCTCGCTGATTGGTTGAGAAAAGGTCAGCGCGGGAGGTGTGAAATTATTTATGACGGGCATCGGTCGTGGGGGCGGGGCTGCTAAACTGTAATATAGTCTATACTAGGCAGAGGGTAGTTGATAACGAGACTCTGCGTGCAGTGTATAGGCTGCGTGGGTTTGCCGTTCGTGACCTTGTAAATACTTTGGGACAGATGGCATTAAATGGCATGGACACACAGTGGGCAAAACTTGTTTTTCAACAAGATACCCCCTTACACCAAATACAAAAATTAATTTCTTAATCAAAAATGCCCAAAATTATTCAGATGGTGGCGAACAGTAAGCCCACACAGCCTCATATGACAGTTACTGAACAGATCAAATTAAGGGTGTTGTATATCTTGCAGAGTTATAAGAACTCAAAAATCGGGATGTTTTTTTGGGACACCCGATATATGGTGTATATTGACATGAGTTCAGCTTAACCTTGAATGACATCATAATATTGATTCTGGATCTAGGCATAAAACTAAATCCCAGATTTGCACAGCACCCTTATTCTCCAAAAACATTCATTGTTGTAAATAATGGATAGAACCAAATATGGTAAAAAGACTTTTTTGAGGACATTTAGATATGAAACAATTGAAAATAAACTTCATTTTATCATGTTTCGTTCAATTTAACAGAAATATTTACCCCAAATTCAGCCAAATTTTGAAGGTAAAGTATACATGGTATATTGAATGTAAAAGCCAAACTCCTCACCATTGAACATAAACAAAATCATGATGAACGTAGAACCTATTAACACTCACCTTACATACATAATCCCCCTCCCCTTTTGTTTGTAGATCTCCAATGGGGGAAGATGAAGAAGATGAGATATACGAGGAAGTTGAATCTGCAAAACATAGTCCCGAAAAGGATTTCATAATTCCCCCGAATGGTGAGAAGATTTTTCTACATTTTAGCACCAAGCTGATACTTCATCTAAATCTCTTAATCCTAACCCATAAATAAAAATGTCTCAAAAAGGTTTATACAAGGACCCCTTATAATAGACCCCGCTCCCTTGATTGTAGATGCCACACAAAGTTTACTGACATTATATACAATACATTTATGTTGATGCCCCCATATTCATAAAAGTAAAGATGTCTCTAAAGGTTTCATTAATTGACCGCCTACCAGCCTACCCCTTAAATAAAAATGTCTCAAATAAGTATATACAGTCTACTCCATACAAACATGTTTTTAAAAGGTTTATTTGTATATAGAATCAGAGAGTGAAGAAGAACAGTTTGAGGAATATGATGATTCGCTGGCTGTAACATCTGCTGATGCTGTAGATGATGAGATCTATGAAGCTTTTGATGAACCCGAGATGTAAGTTACAAGTGACACATATATTGAATTAGTTCTCGCCTTACCGATATAAGGTTTGATATTGGCGAAAGTTTGCTTGGAATTGGCATTTAACTTTTCCTGTTTGCCCATTTTCAGACAAATCACATAATGGATCAATTAAACATTTTCAGTCATGTTTCTTGGTATAAGAATATGGTTTTGTTAAGTTTTTTGGTGTGCTAGGTATATTTTAGGGAGCCATTTCTAATTTATGGGTACACTATTTACTGTGTGCCTTTGAATACTGGTACTGTATATAATGATTTTTTGACTCTTGGATTAAGATGTCGTTTAAGACTTTAAAAAAGGACTTATTAATACCTAGAGGTGTCACACTGACCTGGAGTCAACCCAAATCTCGGGTCGGAAGGGTCACAAACCACTACTTACCAACTTCGGGTCGGGTCACAACACTCACAACACTAATATCGTAGTTATCGTAAAATGCTTTATATTCCTGGCAGAAATTTTAATCTTCTAGCTTGCCTATTTCTTATATTTGTATTATCACAGACAGAAAACAGTTTACAATTCTTCTTTAACGATTAAATGCTAAGTTTCTATGATTTTTCCTTTATCAAAGCATAATATGCAGTAATGCAGGCTTAAACAGAACACATGGAAACTAAATTGCAACAGTATTACAATTATATTAAGAAAACAGAATGAGGTTCTAAGATAAATCATGATCTTTGAAGGAAAAATTTATAAGACATAAATCATATTTAATTACATGTTGCGTGTGATAACAGTTAAGTATGATTTACACAATTCACAAGGAAGTTGCTACATTTACTGGCTTTCGCTTTCATACAATTGATTATCCTGTTTCCTTTTGCTTAATTTGGTTCTATACGAGAATATGTTGCTCAATTATCAGGATAAAATGATAGTGAATTTCTTGGGAAAACGCACAGGGAAAAGAGGCTGTTTTAAATCAGCAACTGACAATTTAACCTCTTGGCTTTCTCGTCACCTCAGAAATGAGCTTGAAACCCAGAGTGACGAGATAATCCGTCACAATTTTTTTCACTAAAATTGCTCTTATTTGAACAATTTTTAGACAATTTACACAAAACTTGTTTTAAAATGTCTAGAAATGATCTCTGCCGTCTAATTTTACTAAATTGAACATCGTCTGTTGTATATGTATGTACTAAAATGTCAAAAGCTGGCAAAAATGAAAAATTATCTGGTTTCAACCTATTTTAGAACCTGGGATTCAAGAGGTTAAAGTACTTTCCAAAGGTCAAAACATCTTGGCTTAAGACAACTCATGGATGCCTACAGGATCAGGTGAAACTAGTCATAATTCATAGGCTTCCTAGTCAACTCGTACCCAAGACAACTCGTACCCAAGACAACTCGTACCCAAGACAACTCGTACCCCAGACAACTCATACCCAAGATTATTTTCAGTATTATGGGTGCTTATAAGGGGAAAAATTGAGTTTGTATAATAATGTTTTCATATTATAATGTGAATCAACTAAGCCTCAATATTTTTTTGAATTTAGAAGACATTTTTCTCAATGGATCGGGAAAGCATTTTGATTTAACTTGGATCACCTTTATATATATAAATAAATATAATTACAACATTAAATCTAATACTTGTTCCAAACACTCATAAACATACAATATTTTGCAAAATGATTATGAATATGTGGATTAAACATATGTCTCTTCGCTTGAACATCCTGAATCTGTGACCAATATAAAATAATAGTCAAAATAAATTGACACTCAAAGCTCAAAATGTCACAAAATTAAATCAATTTCTTCCGAAAATTCTTCTTCAAACTTTAAATTATTCTGAACAGTATGTTACAATTATAATATGTATATCTATTCACATTTCCAGTCCAACGCTTGATTCAAAACAAAATAAACAATTGGGTACGAGTTGTCTTGGGTACGAGTTGTCTTGGGTACGAGTTGTCTTGGGTACGAGTTGACCAGTTACCATTCATAGTACATCTTTTGTTCAATATGGCATTTTCTTTAATTAGGCTTTAAGAAGTAGATTCTGTGTTTCACATCATCTTGCCTGAATGTTTTTGAGAATATATCACAATAACAGTAGTGTCTGCAAATTGGTATTGTGTATCCTTTATAAATTGTACATATTTCCTCTTTGTATTTTGATGAGTTTATGTTTAATTTCCTTGTACTCTTGCACGATTTGGATTTTGCCAGAACATAAAACGAAACATCTACTTCAAATTACCTCATAGCCCTAAACAAATTTCTATTCATAGTGTATTTTTTCTCCTTACCGGGACAACTACTTCAATACATTATCTTCTTTTATCCCAGGGGCATTATTAGGTGAATAAAGGCTTGCAATAAAATGCATATCTAATGAGTTGTTATGAGTAGGATGACATCCAGTTTACTACAATAATAGCACTTAAAAAGTGGGATAAATATAGCAAATGCATACTTGGTTAAAGGATATGGTTGTGAATTTACTTTTTGAATTCAGTTTTTTAATGTATGAGAATTCAATTATGTATTTTATTAATTGTTTTATTAATTGTAAAATTAAGATGCATGTTCACTGGTATCAATGAATTGTGTGAATAGAGTTAAATCCTGAATGGGAATTGTTTATCAACTCTGAGTGAAGAGATTAGCCATTTGTTTTTTCACTGTCATATATCTTCTGTAATTGGTTAGGTAACAAAGAATAGTACTTGTGAAAGATGCACAAGTATTCCCCTGAATATACGGTAATGAAATATTTGTATACTATTTTCATAAGGTCCCTTTGTTCCCTGAGTTAGAATAGATGTTTTCCTGCAATATACCATATATCTAGTCTATGTTTATTCACAGTGACACTGAAGAAGTTAAAAAGAAGGAAGAACTACGCAAGCAAGAGAAAGAGGAACAACAGCGTAAACTAAAAGAGGAAAAGGAGAAAAAAGAAAGAGAGCTAAAAGAGAAGGAAGAACGAGAAAGAAAGGAACGTGAAAAGAAGGAAAAAGAGGAAAAGAAACGAATAGAAAAGGAAGAAAAGGTAGCACATGAATATTACTTTGAATAGAATCTTAGCACAGCACAGAAGTATTGGATTGAATGTATGAGGATTTTCAATGCCCTTATGAAAATAAAGTGAAAGTGAAACAAGCACTAGCCAATTAATAGATTAAGTAGCTTCTTCAGCATTTCTGTAAGGGGCATTACCAGGAGCTTACAAAAAAGATGTACGCTTATAAATGTTTATTCTTATCTGTTGAAGAGAGATTGACATGCCTTTAACATGTCTTTCTGCAATTTCATTTAAAAAGTTTTGTCATCTGGCCTTACTAAACTGAAAATTAACCTACAGTGGCCTTAGATAGATTTTATACTGTAGCCTAAAAATTCTAATTCAGTTCATTTCTGATTTTAGGAGAGACTTGCCAAAGAGAGAAAAGAGAAGAAGGAAAAAGAGAGGAAAGAAAAGGAATTGAAAACTAAATTCAAGGTATGATTTTTTACTCACTGACATTTGTAATTAAATGATGAATAATTATCCAATACATATTAATGGGGGTTAAGTGTAATATATTATGACGGAGAGAATTGATTTTACCCCATGATTGTGTGTCTCTCAGTTGTGTACTGTGTTGTTTGTCTTATGATTGTATACCCCTTGATTGTACACCCAATAAATGTAGACCCCATGATTGAACACTCCATGATTGTTTACTTACCCCATATTTCTTTACCCCTTGATTGTACACATCATGTTTGTGTACCCGATGATTGTTTACCCCTTGATTGTACACCCAATAAATGTACACCCCATAATTCTATACCCTATGATTGTGCACCCCATTAAAACATTGTCCTGTATTATCCCTTTTTTCCAGTTTGAAGGGGAGGAGATAGTCATACATACGGGAACAGTTGTATTTGGCACTAAAGGTAGCAAGTTAGATTTGGATCTTAAAACTGGAGATGTTGTCTGGATTATACGTATGGACCATAATCCACCTGGGAAATGGCTAGCTAAAACACAAGATGCTAAATGTGAGTATTAAGTCTAATATGGGGTTTAGAGAATTTTGTTGCATACATGAATCTGACAATAATTTAAGCTTTCTCTTGCTATTGTCAAAATGTATTGCTCAATTTGGTTTATATTTGCATTTTAATGTCACCACATCACCACCATATGTGGTGATATATTGTTAGTCTCTACCTTTTTTGTGACGGTAGTTGGCATCCGGCATTTGGTGTCTGTAACAAATGGGCAGTGGTGACATTTAGCATGTTGATGCCTTGTATTAGTTGAAAGTAGACTTAAAATTAGAACAATATGGCATGTTTGAATTGTATCTAGTTAAATTACCTCATAAAACAATTTGTATCATTTTCTACTTTTGTGCATTGTGAATTTTATGATTTCCAGATGGATATGTTGTCTCTAGTAACATAGATGTTGACACAAATACAATCAAAAGTGTGAGTATTTTATTACATTTCTAAACTAAACTAAAAAAAAAAAAAAAAAAATATCTCTGAGAAAGAAAATCAACAACTTTAAAAAAAAAATAAATAAAAAATAAAAAAATAAAATATCTCTGAGAAAGAAAATCAACAACTTTGTACATTTCTAAACTATGTTGTAGTTTTGTATCTATAGGACAATGATGATTAGGATATAATGTTAGGAATAATGAACACCATGAAAAGTATATACACTGTTTGTGCAATTTCCTTTTATTGTATGGTATTGTTAACTTGAAAATGTATTTTAATGACTATTTTAGAAAGTATGTTTTAATCCATGGCACTATATCGGAACTTGCAAATAGTTGAATAAAAATGACATTGCACTTTGATTTGAGGAAAATAAAAAATGTAAAATGAAAATCTTATCAGAGAATTCAAGAGTAAAGTTTTGTTGCATTTTTATTTTTCATCAGAAAGTTAATAAGTTGATGAAAGTTTCAGATGATGTTGTTCATAAAATGCTTTGAGTGTTCAATATTATAATTGTTAGAAATCACCATTATGTTAACTTAATGTATATTTAGAAGACCTCAGCTGTGTCTTTGAATGTTGACAGGAAAGTGTAAGTGTTTGCTTCACCCATGTCATTACTGCCCTGCTCTGTTTCACAGCCTTTTAGTCACTTCTCTCGTAGAGTACAATACACATGTGCATTTTCTGTATCACCTTACACTGGTCATGACTAACTCGATGGTGGGAGCATTTTCCTTTATGATTTTTATTTGCTTTCCCAAAATTAGTCAAATAATATCAATTTTATGATCACAGGCCTTAATTTTAATATCTATTTTAAGTGGGTGCATCATCTGCTTGTTTCAATTCTGGGGAGATTGCTGCTATATATGTTGGTCTTGGTGATGAAATTGGGGTGTTGAAAATAAGGGGAGGGGGATAAAAAGTCCAAAGCAGATGTTTAGCCGAGTAAAGATAGCTTTTGCTTCACGTATCTTCTGATTGTGTAAAATCATATATATTTCTAATCTCTGCATCTAATAAACTCTGCACAAATGTCCAATCTGGATTGAACATTGAATATCATTCAACTTGAATGTCATTCATAGTTCATGTTCAGTCAGCTATTGAACTTTTAAAAGCTCATGAACTTTGTTGAAGTCAATTTCAAATTGAGTTCTCATATCCTTACACATAGTGTGTAATATAGAAACTTTTATTCATCTAAATCAAATATTTTTTATTTTTCACAAAATGAAAATAGAAAAGGTTTCAAAACAGATTAATTTCCTTTTTGAACTTCCTGTTAACATTGAGAAAATGATTTCATTCTGCAACATGATCTTTATCACATGCACTGTTGACATTCAGTTTTCATTCATTCTATATACATGTAGTTGTTAATATACTGGAGAAAAATTGGAATTTTGCTATTTAGATTATACATCCCCACCCCCTACCTATGGATGATTGAAGTCACTTTCTGCATGCATCTATTTTTTACCTTATCTGCAAGTGCCCACTATCAGCCATCTTCTTGAATAGATTCATACATTACATATTCACACTCACCATCTGCCATTCAAACATGACATCAGCTATCTTCTTGAACAGGTTTGATAATCTATTCAAACATGACATGGCATATGTTGTGTCTTTGTCACATAATGGGTTGATAAGTCAAAAATGAATTTCCTTTACTCTTTCGCGTTTTTGACTTCAGCCTATTATTTGATTGAAACCAAACACAGTTCTTAGTTCTTATCACTTTAACCATCATCCCATGCTGTGTCATGTCATGTATGGTGTGGTGTCATGTCATGTTACTGTCTATTGTGTCATGTCACTGTCATGTCATGTGAAGTCTATTGTGTATCTGCTTACAGGCAATGGAAACTGCTTATGGCTCAATGAGAAAAAAAGCTAATCACCTCCTATCAGTTGTACCAAATAAAGAGTAAGTCAGTTTGGACTAGTTTCACCTGATCCTCAAATAAATCATACATCATTTTCGAATAGAGCTTCTGTAGAGGTTTTCTTAAGTTAAACTCAATAGAACTTTAGTTGCAACAAAATGAACATTGACAGATCTTTTGATTGAACATATTAGGAATGAACATTCAGAATACATGTATATGACTGATTCATTCCCCAGAGAAAGCTTCCATCAGAGGTTTTGCATTATGACTGTTTAATTTTTGGTTAGTCATTTGTATGATTTTCTGAAGATCTAGATGTTGTAGTAACATTAAGAGGAACCACCTATCATTTGTTCAAAATGAAAATAAAAACCGATTAAAAATACAAAACAAAAATATTAGATAGTTTAGTTATTCACTTGAAATGTCATGAATAAGATTTGATCCTCCTAATGTGACTTTTGGTGTGCAGTTCAATTTTATTTTGAACTTGTTGTTTAAAATATGTCCTGACTTTTGCAATTTATGCTTCAGTTATTCCATTAATTGTAACAAAGATCTTCAAATAGAATTGCCCAGCTTTTAAAGCTTTTCCTCAATCCTAATTTTGAGTAATAATGAATTTCATCAAGATTAACATCATATACCTCCCTTTGTCTATTACCCATGCACCTCCAATACCCTGTAATGCATATGCTTCTTTGTAATTTTGAGTACACATAATTTTTGTAATATCTTGTTACATGCATGAAGTCTCTTCAGCTACGTTATATTCTTTTAAAATGCATAATATAACTTATTGACTAGTGCCCAAATTTGCTGGCCAATGTTACCTAAGTATAACATAGATGAATCCTGTTGGAATCATGCAAAAATGGAATCGTTAAAAATCTTCTTTGAAATGTTAATATATACTTGTATGAGCAAATAGGTGCAATGATTTAAAAAATACTGATAATTCAAATAATTCAATAAAATAATTTACGAAATATATCTACATTGTATATGTATGTTATGCCTTTTGACTAACATTATGTTTTTCTTGATTTTCTTTCATATATTTTTTATAATTATTTAGCTTTAGTGGTTTTTCTTTTCAAAATTTTATTTTTATTTTCTTGAAATTCCTTGTTTCAATCCATTTTTGTGCAAATGTTTATTTATTTCCATATAGACCACAACAGAAATTCATGCTTTGTCAATCTTTGTTTCCAGGGACGCAAACAATAAAAGTAACCAATCGCTGAACCTTACTGACGGTTCTTTGGACCAAACCACAGGTGAAGGTAGGTCATCGTCTGTTCCGGATAATCATTGGGATACCTTGGGGGTCTCATACCATGGTTTTTCGAAAATCCATTTTTTCTGCGAAATTGAAAAACTATTCTCTTGTTCAAAGTATATTCACTAGAAAGTATAAACTTAACATAACACTTTGCATATTCAAAATATTTGAACTTTCAATATACTTGTGTTTGAAATTCATATACTTGAATTGTTTCTGTTCCTGGTTTCAGATATTTACGAGGATACAGCATAATGAAGAACTGTAAAATATTCGACATGCTTGTGTCACTATAAGTCTGTGATCAAAGTCCCCACAATGCAGGATGTGACTATTGTACATAACAAAGAAATGTTCCAAATGTAATCAATCAAGTTATTTATGCTTTTATGCATACATATGAGATTAATCATACACCATGGAATCCCTTGTGAGGATTGACTGAAATACTATGCAACTAGAATCAAAGTCATGCAGAGTAAATGGTATCCATAGCAACAAGATGAACAACATGCAGTACGAGAATACGCAAAAATACTAAACTGATATAATGAGTGTAAATAAAGTATGAAATCTAGCAATATTGTATTATTGTATACTGTGCTTTTATTGTATCTCATAGTAATATATTTTTATTGTATTTTACTGCTGCCTTAAAGGAGCATTCAACCCAATAATTCTGTGTATTGGGTATAGCTTTCCTTACTTGGCATTGTATAAAGTATATTAGCTTGGATCTTAAAATCAAACAGTAGCATATACTATTGTAAATTGTAATGTATGCATTAATTCAATCCCTGGCTGAGAACCAGTAATTAAAGCTTCATCAAATAATATATTAAACGTATCATGATATAATACATCCGTTTCCATTTCTATGTTGGAGAAAACATAGTGTATTATATAATGAAAACTGTATTGACTTTCTGCATACCATGGTTTTTATCATCAGAGTGAATATATACATACAAGTTTTATACATGGACAAAATTATGCGGCGTTTGCTTGATTGCAATTTAAAATGCAAAGGTGTCACAAATAGTTTATACCTCATATACAGGGTGCCCCAAAGAAAATTGTACTGAGAGAAAAATATGGAAATACTATTTGAGTGTGGAAGGAATATTCTCAGAATTTGGTCACCTGACAATAAATTTAATGATCATTAACTCCTGAACATTTTACCAGATATTTATTATATTAAGTTAGAGAAAACTCAAATTTCCCATTAAATAATTTACAAATTTCTAAAAAAATTTCAAACTTCTATTGGAAATGATATTTCTGTATCATGTGAACAGTTCATCTTTTTTCAATGAAGGAAAAAATTATTTATATTTCATTTGGGTACACTTTTTGGGACACCCTGTACATGTCATTGTGTAAAATATATACTTGCACTTAAAAAGGTGGCGTGTCTGCTTAATAATACATTCAAATGAGTGATGTTTTTAGATTTGGCTAATGTGATATATAAATTATAAAATGCTCATGAAGAATTGTCGAAATAACATGTTTGATGTAGTGCCATTACAATAATTTACCATGTGGTGACATTTTGTCACATTAAGGCCTGGTATATTAGTAATCTGGGGTTCGTTTTTCATACGATCGTAACTTACGATTCCGAGAAAACCATTTGTCTCTGTTTTGATGAACAATGACTTGCGACCAAATCGTAAGTTACGATGGTTTCAAAAACGGACCCCAGAGTAAGTTGTATTTGTAATGAAAGAAATGGAACAAACTTAATAATTTATTATTAAGCACTACTTTTTATGTGACGCATTCAAGCAAGATTACTTAAAAACTATGTATACAACATATATGATAATAGATACGAGTAGTGTTGCTATTTTTGTAAGGTAATTTTAACCAAAGAAGTAAACTTTGTAAAAGCATATTTTCATAAAATTATGATAGAAGTTCAGTTTTATGAAATCAAAATATTTGTATTGTTCTTGTCCAGTGAGAAGAGTTGATCCCAAGTTTCATATGACATACATATATGAAGTGTAGACCTTTGTGTATTATATGTGTACACTTGTGTACATGTACTCATATATATGAGTACATATTGTGTAAATCTAGTTGCATAATTATAGGAGTTGGGTACTAACTTATCTTGTATGCCTTAGCTTTAGTTTATACGCATAGCATCTTTCGTGATAGGCTAGATTATAAGAATATTTTATTTTGATAAAAAATATATGTTCTATCATATATAGTGCTTATTATCTTACAAGTATCTATTTCATTGTTAATGGAATTTATTTTGCTCTCTAATAAATGCTGCTTTTTGTTTGTTTTAAACTTTATGAAGTAGTCTCTTTGTATACAGTTTAATGTAAACCTAACATGGGCACTTCTCCTTTGTTGAGTTTGTCAATAGCAACTTGGTGAAAATTATCATTTTTAAAGTAGGTTCCATTTTAAACACAAGACTGTTCTTACTGTTGAGATGTGAATTTTGATTTGAGAAAAATCTGTGCCTGTATGTAATGTTTATATGTCGTACTGTACATGTACCTAGAGTTCATGTCTTGATGTAAGAAATTTTAGTGCAATAATTTTGTAGCCTTTGAAAAAAGTATTATTAGAGAAAGAATTTTGAGTATTGTGAACAGGAATAAATCCGTATATGATTGATGATAAAATCATTATCAATATTTTTGATTATGTTAGAATAACACAAATAGCCATATTGTTTTCTTTATCATTTTGCACTGTGATCTACTCTGTTGAGACAAGACCACTGTTCCAATGGAGTAATACGAGGGTTGATCCAAAAGTTCCGAACCGTTTGCTCTAAAAATCTTAATATTTTATGAATATACCACCCTTTTTATAGTGGTTTCATTTTATGTCAAAATAAACAATTAATTTGATCAGTAACATAGGTATCTGGTTACCATAGCAACATGACAACAGGGTATGTGGAGCAAGAGAACGACACATTGTAGAGTTGGAAAAAAGTTGACACTTGAAGGGTGTATACAGGGTACCAAATATATTTCAAATTTGCTAGTCATGCCTATTAATCAATTATTCTTTCATTAGACCAATGCTATATGTGTGATCTGATATAATACAAGCTATAGTTGGCAACTGTTATGTCATTGACCACAAGAATGCCTTGCGCCAAAAGCAGTCAAATTAAAGCATAAAATCCAGTTTGATTTTGACAATGCGCAATTCCATACCTAAATACTTACTCAAACGCCAATGAAAATATGCACATGCCTTGGCTTACCATTGCATCCTTCTCACTATATCTGCCTCCTCTGACGTTTATCTTTATAGTGACCTTACAAATTACAAGACAAGACATGCTTTTGAACATTAAATGAAGTCCGTCTTGCTGTTCTTGAATGGCTTTCTGAGACAGGTGATGGTGAATTTAAAGATGTGTTTGATCAAAGGGTCAGCAGATATACTAAGTGTATATAAGGGGATATTAGAGACTGTTTTGCAAAATTAAATCAAGAACTAACAATGAAATATGGACAAATTGAAAAAATAATTGGTTAATAGGCAGGCATGACTGACACATTTGAGATTTGGTACCCTGTAACACTCTTTTAGAATCACCTTTTCAACCTCTACAATATGTTGTGCTCTTGCTCCACATACCATGTTGTCATGTTACTATGGTAACCAGATACCTATGTTACTGGCCAAATGTGTTGCTTATTCTTACACAAAATGAAACTACTATATATGGGGTGGTTGTGGCCAAATATTAACAATTTTCATAAAGTATTAAGATTTTTAGAGCAAACGGTTCGGAACTTTTGGATCAACCCTCGTAGTTTGATCTTGGGGGAAAAATTATTGTTAGATTTTCATTTTGATTTCAGTGAAATTATGTACTTCTGTGTGATACAAAATAGAAAAGGCTTGATTAGAACCTGTTGGTATAAATCGCTGATTTTTCACTTTCAGAAAAGTTTTTTACACCCTGTCTGTAAAAAGTGAAGTTTGCATGAATATGTTGAAAATTCTAAGAGTCAACTTATTGAATGTTCAGTTTGAACATCGTACATATCCAATGAGCTAGTCCCTTTGACGACACCCTGGGTAAAACCTTTAAGGCAGTTTGTGTGTTGCTGAAAATCCATTGTATTTTGCAGCTAGAGCCTATTTGCTTATGGCTTTTGTTTGAAATGCATATTATCATTCGATTCAGACAGAAATAAAAGATATGTTATTTTACTAAACATAAGTATTATGTTCTGCTTAAATATGCCAGTGCTATGTACAAAACATTCCATTTGGATATAGTGTGATCCAGCATTGTCAAAACACCAAAATGGCAGCATAAATATTTTCCTCAATTCATTGAATGCCATTGCCACCAATCACACTTGTCACTTTGAACATACACTTATTCCTGTTGATGGTATAATTATATGACAGACCGGGTATATTACATGACAAAATGTGACCACCTTCTAAGTTATAGCAAATTGTAGACACCAAACTCCAAACAGTGACCACCAAATTTTGAAAACTGTCCACAAAAAAAGTTGAAGACTATAACAATATGGCGCTGACATAAAAACTGAACACAAAAATATTTTGTTTATTTATTTTCATATATTTATTGCATCTAACAATTCACGAGGTGTTGTAAGAGTGTTCAATATAATGTAAAAATTATAAACAACGGTTAAAACTATGAGAAATAAATGAAACATGTTTAAGTACCAAAGTACCATCTCCTATATCATACAATTGAAAATGTGTTATATTTATTTAATTATACATTTCACATATGTTAATTCTTATGTCTGATATATCTAATATTTATGTAAAACTCAAACCAAATACATGAGTATTTTCTCCTCATGCTAATTTCTTAAATATCATAAAGGCAAATCCACAAATATCAATTCATACCCAAAATATCGATATGTTTCGTTTTTACTTTACAAAATAAGATTTTCAATTTAGCAATATTAAACATGTATTTATAATTACATTTTCTTATGAACTTGATATCACACATATATAAAATGTAACACAAAACTTAACAATATATTTAATAGCATCTACTTTAAAAAGCATAACAATTGGAAATATATTCTGAGCAATTAATATTAGTGATGTTCTGCACTTAACTCATAGAAAAGCTACTTTGATATATTCTCAAGATATTTTCTACTCATTGGAGATAGATAGCGTACATGTATGTAGACCTGCTCATACTTCAAAGACTAAAATTTAAAATCACAGCATTTCAGGTTTTAACTATAACTATAATTTACACCAAACGCATTATTAAGTCCACATATTCAAATTAAAGTTGTAATTCACCAACGCAGATCTTTGGTTTTGATGAATTTAACCTCAAAGCATTGCTAATCTGTTGTAGACTCTTTAATTATTAAACAAATAAGCTAGAAAGAAAAAGATATCTGCAATCTTTGGCATCACAAAAAGAGTGAAGAAATAGTCTGCAGTGAAAAAGGAACAACACAATCATTTTATGAGGCTGTTTTACTAACATAGACAAAAAATATTTCCCATGTATCAGTGTATTACAATAGAAAATAAAAAATTCATGCTATCTCAGTGTGTCATAAAGCCTGGCTCCTCTTATAATTAATCATTTCATTTCATATGTCTGGAAGACAGAAATTCGTGCCAACTGCTGTGATTACTGTATCTTTACAGTTTTTCATATTGCTAGCACAAATAAACTAGACTAAACTGAACTGAATTTAAGAATCAAATCTTGTATCAATAATCAGTAATCACAAGTATTATTAGTAGATGAGCAAGCAAGTTAAAGACATGTATCAAAGATGTCAATTTCTTAATTATTCTGAAATCAGACATGACCATTCTCTCATGAGTTTCTTAACCAATCAGGATGCAGCATAGCTGTGCTCTAATTTTCCATACATGAATGACTGTGAATCTATTTAATCATCCGTGAATCATTGTATAGTGTTGTACTGTGATGTCACACCTGGGAAAGGAAAGTTTGGTTATTTCATCGAGCATAGTTCCCCAATTTTCTGAACATTGTTTTCATTTTTTATGTTTGAATCAGAATAAATAATGATTCAATATTCAATATGATTAAATTCTACACTCGTTGGACAGAATGTCAGTGCTTTCTAGGACATTCTGTTCAACTAATGCTGAATTTCACCATTGAATGGTCTATCATTATTTATTCTTTAAATAAACAAAAGCAATCATGAGCATTTTTGAGCATTTCTAAAATTTCTCCAAAAATAAGTAATTCTGTTTTCAAATATGATTTCAATGGTTTGAGTTCTGTTTCGACTTTTTCAATCTTGGATACATGTGTTTAATATTCATATTACGAAATCTAAATGGAAACCTAGCACCTCTATGTACAAGTATACAAAATACAAAATGCGGAACATTGTAAAATAACATACTACATATTATATATACAAAAAGCTTTTTACACATGTAAATGGAAACAGTTTTGATGAATGGTGAAATGACAAATAATGTATTTATAAATACATGTTGGGATTAAATAGTTAATTTCAAATATAACTATAATCGTACAAAATATATAACCCAACACCTATACTGTATATCTATATGTTCCAAATATCGTAAGGAATAATATTTAGTAATAAGCTTAATAATTTACATTTAAGTTTAAAATCATCCACAAGATTATCTTGTTATAATTAATAGCAAGAATTGGACCATCACATATGCTGAATAATTGAAAATATATAATAGGCACTTCTAAAATATCACCTTAAAAGTAAGTTTCTATGGGATGGGGGTATCATTAGGATGAACTTATAGTTCTACTGGTCAAAACTGTATTATGAACAAGTTGCTATTATGAATTATTTTGAATTATAAATCCAATCTGTTTTTTCTATACATGCTGAAAAATAAGCTGACCAAATCAAACTTGGCATGGGGTTAAATTCTGAACGTGTGCTTATACTCAAGTATATCTAGTGAATTATCATATGAGAAAAAGGGTAGTGGGTAACTAAAATAGGATTTCATACTGACAATAAGTTCATTGTAACATATGTGAATTGAAAGTACATAAATTAAAACCATGGCTAAAATTCAAAACTTCAAATATAAAACATATACCATACATTCATTAGACTTTATGTAGAAATATTACATGAATATGATATCTAAGAGTATATTAGATACAGTGTTATGTTATATACACTTTTATAGACCACCATATCAAACAGATTTGTCATACTCCATATTGTTATTGTTTTTCAGGCTCATTGAACATTATTCAACAGAAAAACAGTGTCCTATACCGTACAAGTCTAACAATTTGACAATTTCTAACTAACAATTTGGCATATTTTTGACAATTTCCATTTATGAGAAACAAATGTTTTTGAGCAACAGTATTTGAACTAAATTGAATTCAGAGAACTAAAATTTCATATTCCATACTCCATATTCCAGAATGACTCATTAAATTCTATGTGCATGTTTAGTCAAGATCTCTATCCCTTTGTTGCAAGCCATTGTGTGAATCTAAGCTACTGGTAGTGTATTTTGGTCTGACTGTTAATGTTTTGTTCAGGTGCATATTGTAGTATGGCAAGTCTATGGAAGCATTTTAGTCTTTGTCTTCTGGTTCTTCCAAGTCAAACCTGAATAAAGAGAGAAATAATCATAAAATGACCAAATATAGGCCTATATAACATAATGAATATAATTCTATGACAAAGCGTATTTTTATTCAATCTGAAAATGAGCTTTGGCATTTATTCATGTTTCATTAAAAATGCTGTTTTCAGAAATGTTCTTTAGAGAAGTTGTTCAAGAAACTATAGAGTACAATGGAATAAATTAAAAAATAAAACAAATGGTTCAATGTCTGACAAGCATTTCTCTTTCCATTACTATTTTGTAGTATATAAATCCAGAGTGTGTAATAACCATATTCTCACCATTCTGTTACTGCTTTGGTCAGATCAAACTGGTTAAGATCCACTAAAACCTGCAGCACAAAACACAATGGGCAACATAAATTAAAGCAAAATAATTTAGATAATCTTCCCTGGTCTACAATAATGTACATGTATTGGCCATAATTAAACAGATAATTGAATGTTTACAGGGTTATTAATTCCAAATGAATTGGAATAAAAGGATTATATTCTATACCTGAGACTTAATAACAATTACACTTGTACATCTACAAGTCTTTCTAGAGCATTTAAATAACAACAAAAGAGATTCATATGAACAACTGCACAGTGTGAGTCTTATGAGTCTTATGACACACCATGTAACATTGAGTACTTTTTGCTGTAGAGGGGGGTGCCGTTGTTTTTTGACACCCTGTATACTCACAGTTTTCTTTTGAGTAAAAATCTTTAAAGAGAAAGTAATGTGTTTATGAAAGTACTTTGAATTGACTTTGTTCTATAATATTCAACAATAGCGAATTTCATGTTTGACAATGTTGCAAGTCACTTCAATTTTACACTCGACTAAATATTTACATCAACCTAGTCTAGTGGATATGACCCACACACATTGGCTGCATACTAAAAACATAATTCTTCATTTCAAAGTCATTATATAATATATATACTACAAGGAAGCAAAAGTGGTGTACCGTTCCCATGTATTTCCTTGCCCCAGAGAATAATCCCACAGAATTCTTCACTGCAATGTCCAGCTGTCTCTGACTTGCCTCTGCTTGGTTCACATTGAACTCAAATCTGAAAAAAGAACATAAAATTATTGCATGTTACAATGAAGAGTTTTAGGGTTGACAGATATTCCATCTGATAATTTGACCATCGTGTCATCCAATAGTTTAAAAATAGTTTATTTCTGTGTCACAGGTTAACTAAAATATTACAAGTAAAATACATGTGTTAAAAAACCCAACAGCCGACATCGGCTTACGAGACACCTTATAAATATACAGAGATAATCAATAGAAAAATAAAGCATTGGTATGTCCAATATTGTGTCATCTAATACACAAAGCATTTATGCATCTGATCACAGGGCAAATCTGTTTGATCTGATTAAGACATAAAGGTGCAATACAATATATGTATACATCCATTATTTAGTTGAAATACATCTGCATTATTTATAATATTAAAAGGCAGAGCTACAAATTTAAGTCTATGATCTGCTAATATAAAGATACTATATTCATCAAATAAATCCAGAAACATGTGCTATTATCCATGATAATTTTCATGATAAAAGATCTCATTTAGACTGAATAATGATGTACAGTTTATGTTAAAGGAGTCAATTGCCAACAATTCCAATGACAGCACTTACGTTTCATCAAATATGGGGTCAAGTTGGTTCTTGATGGTTTCGGTCTTCTTTTTGCTGGATTTATCAGGCATCAGTCTTATCCTGACATATGGGTCTGCAAGGTTATCATCGTCACATGGTATGAGATTCCTGTGAATGACATCCAAATAAAGTTTTGATAGTGCTTCATTTTAAAATGGTGAACAGGATCATGTGTAAAATGGGGTGAAAGATCAAAATCATAGCAAAATTACTGCTTGTAACTCGCACAATACTGAAGTAAATTGGACTGTAGAGCAAGTGAAGTAATCCCATAAAACAAGACAAAATGGCAGATGTAGATTTCAAGCCAATTCTCGATATTAACATTAAAAGTATATCTGTGCAGAGCATTTTTCAAGAAATATAAAGACAAAAAAAAGTGCAGTGATCTCCACAGGATATTTTCTCAAGTGGGTGCAAAATTCTCATTTTCACAATTCAGACCAAAATTGGTCAAAATATGCACATTTTTTATAATTTTTCTGGGTGCAAATGGATTTTCAGGTGGGTGCAAGTCTATTTCCAAAATCTCATGTGGTGCTGCACCCACTTGCTTTAATGCTGAGGAGATCAGTGAAGTGTATACGAAAAGTGATGATGATACTTCGATACTTACACACATTTATGTATGACCACTACAAGTCTTGACCTCTGTGTGCTGTATCTTATGGTCAGTTGTATCTTCCCCAGTCCTGCTACACCAGCGCCACTACCTCCTGTTGGACTGAAATTGTGCAATCATTGTTTAGTAATTGTGTACATTATTGGGTTATAGTTTTTAAAGTTTTAAAAATAGTTCTAAAATATAGCAAATATTTACAAAATTTCAGAACAACCTACAACTTGCACAATCAATAGGCTTCGATAAAAAACATATTTTCTGAAAATATAAAAGTACAGTTTAAAAGATTGTACATTATATCTAAAAGTCAAATCATTGGTAGGTGAGCAAGTATTCAATTTTTATATTTACACAAAGGTTTGAAATTTCGGAGTATTTTAAGGTAAGAGTCCATGAGGCATTTTGAATATTTAAAACAGTCACTCAAACAGCAGAGTTTGATCTGGTATGGTGTATAACTTCCCACTCTTAATAGTATACGCTTAATTAATTATTTCTTCTAAATGAAAAACACTTCTTATGGTCTTACCTGCCAGCGGGTACAGCTGGTCCCACAGATCTATGTCTAAGATCACCTCCCTGTGACTCTAGGCTCATATCAGCTTCAGGGATCAAAGTCTCAACCTCTGCCTCCTCCTCATTGTTAAGTGTTGTAGGTGGCAGTGGACGGGGTTCTGGTGAACTTGGGGTAGGTTTAGGGTCAGAAGGGGATTCAGGTTGGTCAACAGGGGTTGAAGCTGGACTATTATCTGAGGCAGTAGGAATGTTGATTCCACTGTCAACATCTGTCCCCTCATCTGGTGGGAGAACTTGGGGATTCTGGCTAAGAATCTGGAAGACACAAAAACATGTAAAGTATTTTTAAACATCGGCTTGTATTATGTAACAGTTCAAAAGTCATCCCAATCTACATTCTACCTTCTTTAAATTTTGAAGTAGAAACATACAGTAGAACCTGTTCAGCAGAACACTTTTTTAAAACTCAAGGTTTTCCAGAACTTAAAGTAGCATGGAGCATGTATCTGAAACTAAATATGATGTATATGATCTATGCTGATATACCCTCAACTTGGATATAAATAAGGTATTAAATAGTCCAATCATACTATCTTTGTTCCAAACTAAAACTCCCTCAAACTTAAATGTGATGCCAGACCTTTGTTGAACAGATCTCTTGAAGACCATAGTTTACCTTCCGTACATGGCATATTCACAATCCATACAAAAATTAATTTTGACTACTTGAGATTTCTCCATGTTAATCTTTACTTGAGATTTCTCCATGTTAAATCTTTACTTGAGGTTTCTCCATGTTAAATCTTACCTTTAAAGCTAATTTCAGGTTGATAGTACTCTGGGGTCCAGAGTTCTGTAGTCTGAATGGCTGTTCTAAGGTCAATCCTGGGGCTGACAACAACTGTTTCATGGGCACAAGTAGACTTCCAATCTTCTTGTCTCCTCCCTTCTTGTCCCTAATCTTTAAAATTATGATATTTATAAAAATGGTAGATGTGTACTGTGTATTTTATTCTATTATATTTGATGCCATCTATATTTTCATGAAACATTTGTACATACTTATCATGGTGTATTCTGAAAAGGTGAACAGAAAAACCTACTCTTTACACACTGAACATATTAGAGAAAGTCAAAGGGTTTAAGAGATGTGACAGGAATGTTAAGACTGTACTATACATAGAATATGAATGTATCATACAATAACTACAATTAACAAGTCGACTGAAGTTACTATATAATCATAAACAAAAAAACTTACTTCAATATCAACATCTTGTACTTGGGGGTTCTTTACAAGGAACTGGTAGAACTTCTCATAACGTGGATTATTCGTGTCGGCCATTATAGGTGTCTTGACTTTCTCTTCTTGTCCAACAGTCAATATAACATATGAGGATGGCTCAGCCATAGTTTTACGGGAACGCTAAAACATTGAGCTTTTGTAAATCAGAGATATGAAATTGTTAATAGTGTTTGTATATAATGGAATACTATCTTCATGACAGATCTTTGGTAAAGGAATAAAGTCAGATTAAGTGGTGCATATAAACTGGAAAAAATGTTCAGATATGATGTGAGCTATTTATAAGGTAGCTCAGTTACAAGCTTGACAAAACCCCAATGGTTTTCTGGTTTGTATACGGGACTGGATACTCAGTGATTCCTGGTTCTGAGGTCAACTTTTGCACATTTGCATCTAGGATCTGAAAAATCAGTTCACAATTGTGTCTTCATCTATCATAGCTTCCATGTCTTTAAGTCAATAATGGGGTAATAGTGGGGTAATAGCTCATTTGAGCTCCTTGGTCAGTTGATCTGAAAAATACTTGAATTAAGTACATGTGGTTCTTGTCCATGCATGTTACCTTTATACTTTAAATTCTATACATAACAACAAAATTTTCAAATTAAACAGTTGATATTGAGAGAAAGACTGAAATGTCAAGAAAAGAACAAGAACAAAACAAGACAAAGCATTTCACAAAAATGAGCACTGTTGTGTAGCAATAGTAGAAGAAACTGCACTGAAGAGAAAACAACCTTACTGGTGTTAATAAACAGTAAAGAGTTTTATTCACTTTGTACAGTATATAGTTGAAGGGAGGAAAAGGGATAGAGACAAGTTGGGAGTATGTTCAGAAAAAATGTCACAATTTTATAAAAAAAATTCTCATTCACGCTTTGAGTCCCATAGTTTCAACTTGATCAAAAATCTCAATTCTTTTTTTCTGAAAATAAAACAGGGATTACGAGGAAAACATTGTACATTTTGAAAAAAAATGTTTCTAATCATTTTACAAGTTCTTTCCATTATAATGAATTTAAATAGATTTACTTTATAATGCTACACTGTGCAATAAAATTTCTGTGAGGAGGATGGGGCATTTAAGCCATTCAGTGTGCTAAAAAAGCTAATTTCTTCAAAAGGGAATGCAGGTGCATTATCTCAAGTGTTAATCCAGGTTAATCTACTCAATATGAAGTACATTTAATCCATTATAGAAATTAATCCTATGATCTCCTCTTTGATTTCATTTACACTTCCTGTTGGGAATCAATCTCATGACCTTCCCTTTGACTTTTATCCATACTTCCTGTAGGCACAATATAAATACCACTGTTGATTGTTAATTGATCAATGGAAATATAAAAAATAATGAAAGAACAATTGTTAATAGGCAAAAGGAAATAATGGGAGAGCAAAGTAAAGTATTAGTAAAGTGAATTAAAAGTGAATGATAAGTAACAAGTAACAAATAACATTGTAACATGCAACATTTGAATTAATAGAATATCACTTTTTATATAAATGTAAACCAACAATTAAAACAGTTGCCTATTGCCTCAATTACCCCAAACCAATCAGATTCCTAGCGAGTAAAGGGAGAAACATCATTAATGTTTTTAATTTCAACTATTACAACACAATGTACTTATATTATGAATTAAGACAAGTGTCTGTTATTTTAAAAAAACTTTTGACCAGATGAACAAAAACATAAAACAGAGTGCCTTTAATACAGAGTGCCTTTAATTCATTCAATAATAATATTATAATATTATACAAAACAAGAAAATATTACATTGGAATATGATTCATGAGTAATATATAATGTCAAGCACATGATGTAACCACATGCTTTTTAGATAACCAAATGAAGATAAAAACCCATTTCCATATATGGGATATTGTCAAATGATACAACAAACTGAAATGCTGACATACACCCTTACCAACGAACATCTGATACCACAAGAAAAAGGAATGAGGTCAATATAAATTGTTCTGATAAATCACTTAATGAGTCCGAAAAGGTTTTCTTATTTTAGTTTTGTTTTTGAATAAACTTCTTCAACTTAGGATTAGTACAGGGTGAGCCAAAAAGGTAACCCAAACAAATGTTAATATATGTAACTTCATTCAGCATGGGTTTAAGGTCATATTTGGCACAATTGAAATGTGTTCAATGTTCTTTCACTCTATTAAGTTTCATTGATGTTAGTCAAGTGGTCATGATTTATGGCCATTTTACAAGACATGCTCAAAATGCCAGTCTCATCTCTGGAGGCAAACTCGAATGCATCGGTGAAGTTATTCTGACTACACGCTCGCAGATATCTTATGTTATGACTCTCATCTTCCTTCTCACTTCTTGTTTCAACTCTCTGATGCTTCTAGGGTTGTTAGTGTAGACATTTCTTTGAAATAGACACAAGTCTTGGGGTTCATATCTGGTGAATTTGGCATGTTTCAGCATATTTAGAGCACATTTTGTAAAAATGCCATAGAACCATGACAATTGGGAGACCCATGAAACTTGGTAGAATGAAAGAACATCGAACATTGGTTGAGTTTTGCCAAATGACATGATGGATGATTGAGTTGAATCAACATTTGTTTGGGTCATGCTTTTTTTGCTCACCCTGTATTAAATATTTGGAATATATTCCAGATATTAAAAACACATACATGTAATATTTATTAGCAACCATTTAAAACCTTCTCCAAGAAAACACATGAAAATACATCTACATTGAACAGATACACAACAATTAGAGCTTTACATGAAAAGCATCAAGTTAAAAAATGACAATACATGTCCATTTTTGCAAAAATATAGATTGAAGAGTCTTAAAACTCACTTCAAACCATGAACACTCCTTTTAATAAATATAACAATCATTTGATATAAAATCAACACACAGGGGTAGTTTTTACATATTTTTAATACATGTACTTCTATCTTGACAGTATAAAAATCCATAGAAATTCACTAACCCTACTATCACACCAAACTAGTTCTCACTACGTTCTCGAAAACAGGCTTAAACTGTGCATGAACGGATTTGACGTACTAAGAACCCACTAAGAACCCTTTGGGATCTGTTTACAAACTTCATGAAACTACTCGAACGAGTAGGTCCTCCAGAACTTAGAGCATGCTCAAAATTTTCTAGTGAATGTCACGTTCTTCAATCAGAACGAGTGACAACATACTTAAGACGACCTGGACGCACTGGGGACACACTACGAACGGAAGTGTCATACTTCAATCCTACTAGAGACGTATTACGACGTTGTGTAGTCAGGCGTAAATTGCAGTCGTGAGTACCCCCAATCAAGTCCATTTGTAGCTTATGAACGAATTAACAAAAATAGCTATCACACCAGAACCAGTTGTCACTGCGTTCTTCAAAACGTTGCCGAATCGGTTTTAGACTGTGTGGGAACTGAATGAACGTAGCTACAACATTCTACGGTCTGTTTACGAATTCATGGACTTTCCCCGACAGGGAATGTGATTTAGAATTTTGAATCGATTCAAAATTCGATGGCGACCATACCGTTCTGTAATCAGGTCATGATGACCTTCTAGACTAAGGGACGCGTTATACGACGTTGCACACCGACGTGGTGCGACCTGAACAAACTGCGAATGAGATGGACGTATTGAAGACTGCTTATGAACGAAGTAGCTAATTATTTTAGACATATTTCCCGACTACAGCCAGATTGAGCCCGTTTTACGACGTTTCCGTAGGACTGGCAAGAACGGGTAAGAACTAGTTTGGTGTGATAGGGGGGTTAGATGACCAAATATATGTGAATGCAAAACATCTAAAATGTAGTAATAATTAGTAATCGTTTGGATAATTAATCAACTCAGAATATCTAACTTTAAAATCATTCTCTCATGGCACACTAGGTTCATCTTCCAGCTTTACATCTGTGGTTAGAAAATGAATGTTGGAATTTGTTGAAACGAGATCTGTAAATGTGTTTTGCAATGTGTATAGTACGCCAAAAGTAGTAATACATTGTATAATGTATTTTTAATTAATTTTTTTTTCAAAAATGTATATGCATATGTGTCTCGAATTTTTAAACCATGGTAAAATATGTTTAATTAAAATATGCAAAGAATTGATCATATCAATAATATGTCCATTAAATGGATCAGCTGGATATTGATGGGTATAAAGAAGATGAACCGATGCAGTTGGAGAGTAATGTATAATTAGTTATTTTATCGAATTTGGATACCAGTCCATCTATTACATGGTACCACTATCAATCAGTGGTTAAAAGCATTAAAAAAGGCCATCTCCCTGAATACAAAGTATGGGATGAAGAATGATGGGGTCTTATAACAGAATAGAATCAACACCCCTGTCAAATAAACCAAGTGGGTAATAAGTTTTAATCAATTAACTTAAAAGGTATGTCATATACATTGTTTATGTCACTATCCTGTGATATATATTCCCGTAAAGTTATATGGACTTTTATATTATGATCACTATGATATTAGGAGTATTGTAACAGCTCTTTGAAAAGAACAACGCCATATTTCCAAAATTGATATCATCATGCATTCTTCCAAAATTAACCCAAATTTTCACCATGTTAATTTATTCTTTTAGTAAAGTTCTTATATGTATTTGTACTATCGTATGGACAATCATATTGTTGAAATAATGATAACTTAAATCAAACTAAAAGGTTTTATAACATTTCTGTAGAACATCACTCATCAGTTAAGTGTGAAAACATTAATAAAATAGTGCTTTAATGTGTTATTCCAAAATCATGTTATCATTGATTCATTTTTCATATTGCATCATTACTTGTGATATGATATCTTCCCTTGGTCCTTCAGAAAGATATCATATCCCTTGGGATATACCCATTATAAAATCCCTCCCTAGGTATAACAACTTCTTATATATTCCAGGCTAGTGACAAAACCTCCAGGTACAGTAAAGATCCCATGAATTACTATACTATAAGAACATATTTGGAGAATGAACCACTGACAATGCCACTTTGCCCAATGTGAAACATAACTAAAATGTGAGGGAATTCTGCATTCAGGGTAGGGTCTTAATCACAAACTTGATATTTAAAAACTGCCAAACCTTTCCAAACTTGTTATAAGCCTGAGTGGTAACAATCAATCAACAAAAGCATTTAAACACATGTGCAAATAAATGTAAATAAATGAACTCAATTTGCGCTTACCTCAGAGTTCTAACAATGATAATTGAGATATTCATTAAACAACCATTTTTACTACATATTATATAGTGTATTGTATTGCTTTATTTCCTTCATACAAAAAAATATACTTTATGACATAGATCGCTATTGATCAATATCCATGAACAAAGTAACAGTAAAATCCATTTTTCCAAATTATGCCGAAGGATTCTGTTTTGTTTGTAACTTATACAAATAATAGGGGAAAGAGTTAAAGAAAACATAAAATTATAATAGGTCAAAAATGTTAAATATCACAGACATATTTTAGAATATTTAGAAGGTGTATTTTATCTCAATGGCATATGGTATAAAACAGGATCAGAATACATAAATTGTACACTAAAATATGATAAATAATATTCTTGAAATAAACCAGAACATTGATCATGTAGCAACATTTATCTACATTTACTAAAAGTGATATATTCAATAAAAGATTTGTGAATGCCTTAGAAAAAGAGACCTTTGCCCGAGTTCTATGATACTACATTGCAACAATATCAAAAACATATCATTTATATTTGTTTTGTCGATACTATGCCATTTTAAATAAGGGTCAGTTGAAATAATATAAATTCAATCTGATACTCACTGGCAAATTGGCTGCAGAGTCGACATAAACCAAGATGACGCAGCTACATAGGGTATCATTGGTATGCACCTGGTGATTCATAGCAATTGCCTGCAAATTGAGAAAGTTCATTAAATACTTAAGTCATATAATGAATGATTGTACAAAGTTTCATTAACATTTGATCTTTTTATTGCTCTTCATCTTGGGATATGTAAAAAATAAAAGAGGATGTAATATATTGGCTATTGAGCTGATGGATTTTCTAAGGGTTGATTTGTCCAGGGATTAGTTGTCTAAGGGTTGATTTGTCCAGGGATGAGTTGTCTAAGGGTTGATTTGTCAGGGGATGAGTTGTTTAAGGGTTGATTTGTACAGGGATGAGTTGTCTAAGGGTTGACTTGTCCAGGGATGAGTTGTCTAAGGGTTGATTTGTCCAGGGATGAGTTGTCTAAGGGTTGATTTGTCAGGGGATGAGTTGTTTAAGGGTTGATTTGTACAGGGATGAGTTGTCTAAGGGTTGACTTGTCCAGGGATGAGTTGTCTAAGGGTTGATTTGTCAGGGAATGAGTTGTTTAAGGGTTGATTTGTCCAGGAATGAGTTGTCCAAGGGTTGATTTGTCCAGGGATGAGTTGTCTAAGGGTTGATTTGTCCAGAGATGACCTGCTGAAGGGTTGAGTTGTCCAGTTATCTATTTAGATCAAAATTAAATAATCTATTCATGCTAGACATGGTATGTCTAATGATATACTTTATTCATGAGTTGAAACTGAACAAATAAACATTGCACGATATTATCCTTTTATCCCACCCTTACCTATTACCTAGTATATTTTCTTCATAATGATAAAACAAATAAAAAAATATAATGCTCAAGAATGAAAATTTGGTAAAATCAGTTCACTTAGAATAACATTTTGGGGAAAATAATCTGAAATAATATTTGGCAAAATAAATTTGGGGTAAAATTATTTGAGAAGAAAATCTTGAAAAAATCTTGCGAGAAAAAATAATGAATGATAAATTCAGGGAAAAGGACCATTTGAGAGTTTGATACCGGCATTTAGAAACATTACTGCTATACATAGTGTTTAAAGAACTTAGGGTGGGATAAACAATAGTATAATATCAACCAACTTTAAAATGTACCATATTTTTGTTAGAAACTTATGTAAAATAATAACATAGTAATACTGTAAACTAAAGTTAAGCTGACAAAACATATGCAGAACCAGCAATTAACGATGTCCAAAGAGATGATCATCATGCATATGTACATGCACTTTGTGTTAATAGAACAATGATATTAACAATTCCAGTCCTTACTGCAATATAGAACACACCAATTCATACCTATGTATTGAAACTAGTTGAACAATTGAAAATATCAAACATCTTTAACTCTTAAAACACCTTCACTTCATATTCTACTACTTACCAATTGTTTATGGTAGAATTTTCAAATTTTATGAAAAGAAGAACAAAACAAAATTACCTTATTATTTAATCATATACATATATGTATATACATCTATATGAAGGACCTGCACCCAAAACTGTACGATACATGGGGGATTTCTGCTTATAATGAATAATGAAAAACTTAATTCAAAATTCTCTGTTTTAATATGAAAATTGTAAATGATTTGGTAAATATTGTAGATCTTACATGATTCAAACTTTCATAACGAAATATGAGAGTCTGAATAATATAAAATAGTAATACGAACTATTGCAATTGTTTAAATAAATTAAGAATTAATAGAAATACCCCATCAAATACAGTTTATTTCAAACCTAAGCACTTATATTAAGAGGTAGCTGATAATGTAGATCAATGTCAAAGACAGAAGCAACCATAATCCATTCACCTAATTATATATAAGAATGATCACACAGAAATCTTAAACAATTTATCTATTCAAACCAAAAGGGCACGCATGAAGGATAACTATTATTGACTTATTTTGAAAAACTTATGCAATCAATATAATAAACAAAATGATATTGAAATAGTAAAAAATCATTGCATTGATTCAACTTTGTGTAGTAATATCCATTTGGTCCGATTGATTGTTTCCTTGAGAAGATGATATTGTCACGTAAATCACACAATTAAAACCAAGTTATTCTCCAAGCAAGCTGTGTCCCAGAAGCACCTTATATGCAGGGAACATTGCTGTGCAAGGGAGTGTGGGGTAACAATGGTGCCAGACCTGCTGACAATTAGACTTGTAGTAGATCCAAGGACAAGAAGTCTATTAATCCCAATTACAATCGACAGAAAACAATCAATGTTTTGATTAAATTTAATTTAACATACCAGATAAACAGAAGTGTAAATTGAGAGTGATTCAAAGGTTTCAAAAAGTCTTCTGTCTAAATATATAGGTGGGATCAACCAGAAATATGAGACTGATCAACAAAAGGAACGATGGCAGAAATATGGCAGTTTTGCATTTCAGCATTAGAATACCACTTATACACGAAAATACATATCTTTGCTTTCAATGTAAACGATTATACTTACTGTAATAATTTATACAGATCAATGTATTTTTGAAATAGCTGTCAGTTTTTTGTTGGAAAATATTTCAAATGTTTACACTAAATAAAATTCAAGAATTGATGGTTTTGGAATATACAGTAGAACCTGTATATATGAACACCTGGCTAATCAGAACACCTTCTCATTTGAATGAACACTTTTTTTGGTCCCATTTTTTCTTCCTATTGACATTCCTATCACATGGTTCCCACAAATATTTTAGACCTTCATCTAAAATATGTGAGAATATCAGCCAAATAATGCAAGTAATAACTTAGTGATAGCTTGTTGCAAGGGTTCACTTTTTTTTGGACCACCCTGTACATTCTTATACAACACAGTACATAACAGCCTTTGTCAAATTGTGAAGCACTCAGTCAAACACCTGAAGTATAATGTACTATGATATAAGTAAACAATCTACCACTAAGCTACATGAACGTTCCTGTGAAAAACTGTCCTCATTGTCCACAAGTTACAGGTCCATATGAATAGAATGTGGTTGTTTCCTCTACTTAATTACTCAGATGCGAGGTAGTTGCCAGTTTCGCCACCAGGTGGCTGATTCGGGGGAATTAACATGGCAGGGTATTACAAAATTCCCTTAAACCTGAATATGCATCAGTTTTTGGTGGTTCACTTTTCATATTACCCTTATGTATCTGATAGTTATACAAATTAAAATATGTCCAGTAAAATAAAATATTATCTGCCCAACACAAGAAAAGATATTTCACTTTTTGTGGTTTTACCTAGAAGTCACATTTTCAAAGAAAATAAAATTTTAAAAGTTGATAAACTCTTTTCAAAACCACATTTCTAAATGTAATTTACATGTAGATTCCAAATATGACATCAGTTTGACTGAATTGTGAATGTTTAATGACGTAAATCAAGATTACATCTACTCGCATCTGGGATATTGTGTTTTATATCCTTATAAGGGTGTGATTTTCTTTTACATTTTATAACTCTATGAATATTTTATATGTCAACTTGGTGAATTGTTGGGAATGCATCATTAACTAGACCATACAGTGTAATCATTTTCTATATTTTTTGTAATAATAGGTATTGGTGATGTTTATATCTTTGTAGATCTATAATGGCAAATTTCATTCTGTTTAATACATCCCTGAGTTTTTAATTGTGATTAAATCAAAAATATTTATAAAATCCATACAATATTAAGAAAAATGTCATCCCCAAAAATACAAATGTTTTTGGCCCACCCTGTATACTGTACTTTTTGGAAACATCAATTATTTTTTAGTTTTTTCTTCTTCTTTATTCCTGTTAAATGCACATTCAAATATACAACAAATAGACTGCCAAAGTTAAAAACATTGGTGGCAGTTGTTTGGTGTGACTTTGCAGAGTCACGGGTAGTATCTAAAGCCCCGCTATGATTTAAAAATCGCGAGCAAGTTCCCGCTGAAATCGCGAGGAATAAAAAGAAGTCATGGGTTTTTTGTGTTCTTGAATTGTATGATTTACTGGTACAAAACGTTTTCTTTTAATTTTTCCCAATGATTACATGGTATTGAGACTAAAAAAGCAACTGCTGGAAAAAATGTATCACGAACGGTCGTTCTGTGGTTCGTTATTTGTCAATTGAAGAGAGAAAGTATCATTTTGAATCTTTATCTTTATATTTCTATACGTTATTGGTGAAGAACGATGTTGTCCTGTGGTTGAAATAACGATAGTGATATGAAATAAAGATGTACCGAGTTTCGCTTCCTAAAGCTTTACAGAACATTTTATATTTAAATTTTATCATATCCCTCAAGGCCCCGCTTCTAGCAGGAGCAATAAAGCAAAGATCCCGCTGAAATCAGGAGGAGGCCCCGCTGAAAACATGAGGAGGTCCCGCTGAAAACAGGAGCAAGTGTCTCTCAAAAATGGAGTGAATCCCGATTATACCCTGAAAATCTCCCACTTTCGTACCCACCTTGATCCACTATTGTAACCAGTTTGATGAATACATTATTTGTCAATACAATTCTCAATAACAGCAAATACAACTGTTAATATAGTTCATATTATGATACGTTGTTATGGAAAACTGCAGTATTTCCATGCCATTTTACAGAATAAGAAAGATCATCTGAGAAATGTGAGTATTAGATCGGACGAAATGTTAAACATTTAACCTCATTTTCATAATTTGAAGTAATATAAGTTATTGAATGATTTGAAGTGCAATGTAGGATACATTGTGCTCAAAAAATTCTGTATTGGCACGAGATGAAATCATTTGGAAATACAGCATATCGAGAGCACAATATATCATATGTTGCGCTTCAAATCGTTGTATAACGTTTTTTATCGTGTGATCTTACTACATAGTCCATAGGAAATATTCTGTATTCTCTGTATTGCAACTGTCCCCTCTGTTCCATCTTTGAGTACAAGTCGATATTCAGTAAGATACACGAATAAGCGTGCGTTTAGGTCAACATAAAATGATTTAGTCAGAACAATGTTTATGAATATTATTCCGAAATCAATCTCCTGTTGCTTACTTGCTTGCTCGCTTCCTCCCTTCCTTGCTTCTGTGCTTCCTTCCTTCCTTGCTTCCTTCCTCGCTTCCTCACATCCTTCCTTCGTCGCTTCCTTCCATCCTTGCTTCCTTCCTTCCTCGCTTTCTTCCTTCTTTGCTTCCTTGCTTCATTCCTTCCTTGCTTCCTCACTTCATTCATTCGCTTCCTCCCTTCCTTCCTTCCTCACTTCCCTCCTTTCTTTCTTGCTCCCTTCCTTGCTTCCCTCCTCGCTTCCTTCCTTCCTCCCTTCCTTTTTTCCTCGCGTCCTTCCTTTTTTGCTTCATTCCTTCCTTGCTTCATCGCTTCCTCCCTCGCTTCCTTCTCTACTCCTTCCTTGCTTCCTCGCTTTCTTCTTTCCTTGCTTCCTCGATTCCTTCCTTCCTCACTTGCATCCTCCCTTCCTTGCTTCCTCACTTCCTTCTTTCCTCCTTCCTTGCTTCCTCGTTTCCTTCATTCTTTCCTCGCGTTGTTCTTTTGTCGCTTCATTCCTTCCTTGCTTCCTTCCCTCCTTGCTTCCTTGCTTTCTCGCCTTCTTCCTTACTTACTTCCTTCCTTGCTTTTTTCCTTCCTTCCTTTCTTGTGTTTTTGCTTGCTTCCTTCCTTCCTTGATTCATCGTTTCCTTCCTTCTTTGCTTCCTGGCTTCCTTTCTTCCTCGTTCCCTTCCTTGCTTCCTTCCTTGCTTCCTTCCTTGAAGGATAGATAGAAGAAAACAATTTACAAAAGATCGAACCCACGCACGCAAGAACGTAGTTACAAACGAACGCACGAATGAACGCACGCACGAACGAACACACAAACGAACGCAAAAAGAACGAACAGACGAACGCACGCATGAATGGACGGTTGAACGAAAGCACGCACGGACGAACGGACGGTTAGACGGACGAACCCACGAACGAAAGGGCAGTCAGACGAAAGCAAGCACAAACGGACGGTCAGACGAACGCATGCGCACACAAACGGACGGACAATCGCACGAACGGATGCACGCACGAACGAACGAATGGTCGGATGAAAGCACGCATGAACGAACGGACCGTCGGACGAACGCACGCACGAACGAACGGTCAGTCGAATGCACGCACGAATGAACGGTCGGACAAAGAGACCAATGAAATATATGTGTCCTCAGAAGTATAATCCTTGGAATAGTTAATTATCTAGAATGTACATTTAACTCCGAAATGCACAAAGTCTATTTAAATATAAAAATTTGATCATGCCGCTGACAGATGGATTAGACTGCCTGAAGTTGAAGAAGAAATATTTGTGATGTTGCCATAGAATGATATATTATGTGACTGTCATTAATATGTTATTTGCACATTCGTGTACATTCATATAAAGAAGCTCACTATATTCATGGAATAATGATGAAGCTTTCCTCGTGATCGAAGCGGGTAGTCGTGAAATTTGCTCGTGTTTTCAGCGGGGTCTCCTCATGTTTTCAGCGGGGCCTCCTCATTTTTTCAGCGGGGCCACTGGAACACCTTTAATCATGTATTTCGACCCCCATGGCAGGTGTCATTGTCCAGTAACTTATCAATACAGACCATCTTGATCCGATATTTATTATGGAGTATGTAAATCGTATTTATTGCCTTTATTTTAACGATAAAGGTAATATATGAGCAGTAAATTATGCAAACGTGCATGTTGACGCCCCTTTCCTTCATGCAAGTAAAAAATAATCATTTTTCATGTCATTTTTTGTCAAATATATCTGTTTTCAAAGTTTTGCTGGAGTATCAAAGAACGGTAATAAGTATTTTCATCCTTTTGGTTCATTTTCCAAAGTGATACAAATAAACAGGACTATGCTCGCGATTTCAGCGGGAACTTGCTCGCGACTTTTCAATCATAACGGGGCTTTAGATACTACCCGTGAGAGTGAAGGATACAATGTAAACAATACTAAATCTACTTCCAAATTGTTTACCATACAATGGCTATAATCAGAATAAAGCATCATTATACTTTAATTAAAGCATAATAAAACAAAATAAATGGTAATGGTATAGAGTAATTAACCCAATCAAATGTGTCATATATTATCAATTAATGCATCATCATCATCATGCATGAAATGTGGAGATACAAAGAGCATTATATTACAAAATCCTAAATGGGAGTTAAGTATAAAAAGAGTAAACAGTATAATAATATACATATAAATGCATATAAATGCTGGCCCTTTTTTAAAATGGCCGCCTTCTACCCAAAATGTCATAAGACAGTATGCGATCCTTACGAGTATTCACATATCAAATATGAAAAAAATCGCTCTACTACTTTTTGAGTTATAGTAAAAAATGTAAAATAACACACATAAAAATGGTGCCATTTTTCAAAATGGCCGACTACTCCCCAAAGTTTTATTAGACAATGTGCCATGCTTAAAGTATTCACATATCAAATATGAACAAAATCGCTCTAATACTTTTCGAGTTATAGAAAAAAATGTAAAAATGATAGCCATTTTTAAAATGGCAACCTACTACACGAAGTGTCATGAGACAGTGTGCAAGGTTCATAAGTATTCACATATCAAATATGAACAAAATCGCTCCACTAATTTTCAAGTTAATCAATGTCTTAATCAACGTCCTATATAACTTTTTTACATTTAAAACATATTGCTATTACAGTTTTATATGCAGAACCTAAATTACTGTAAAATCGGCACTAAAATAGCCGCCATTTTTAAATGAGTGGCCATTTTGAAAATCTGTTTTTGAGCAGAACTTCTACTTCCATTGGGTATATGTGTACAAAATATGAACAAAATCCGGCCAACGGTATTTGAGTTATTGCCCGGACGGACGGACGAATGGACATACGTACGGACGGACGGAGGCGTTCCCTTTATCCCTCTGAACTTAGTTCGATGGGATAATTAATCAATCAGCATCACTGGATCAATTGCCAATTATTAGTAAGAACTGAGGACAGTACTGAAGAGCAGCACGATTTGTTGAACATGGATTGATACGGACATTGTTAAAATTAGACTAGCATCGTGGTTGGAGAGCCTTGAGAGGGCTGGAGAGCCTTGATAGGGCCTTGCAAATTGTGGATACTGGTTAAAACCAAAAAGAACACACTGAGTTTACAAGAAGTAAGATCCTAAGACTCACCCATACAAGAGGAGGGATACTTACTGTTTGGAAGGAGGAATTGGGTGGGAAGCTTATCTCCCTTGATGAAACACGACCAAATGGACAACTTCCAATAGAATAACATGATAGAACACTGAGGCAGTGCATATTGGGTGATATAAACCAGAAAATTGAACCACTACATTCAACAATACGGACAATATCCAGATTCAACAATGCAATAATGGTATCTCGACAATCACATGTATCATCTCATTTCAGAGACTGATCATAACTTTTAAATGAATCAATTTGGAAAGTGTATCTCTGTGTGAAATGTATATGGAACTAAAAGTTGATCAAAAGATGGCAATAGAGTATATATACTAAACTAAACTAAAAACTAAAAGTGCAATTTGGAAAGGAACAGGTTAACAAAGAGTTCAAGTAAAGCATACACAATGAAAACATTAAGTGAAGAAGTAAAATAAGAAATAAGAACATAACATTGTACAAATGAACAAGGAACCAAATAAGAGACTGAAATAATCGACAACTGTCGGACCCAGCGAGAGCATCAAGGGGGCCCCTCGTCATAACGTCCAACACCCAAGATAGGCATCGACAAAGGTAGTATTTACAAGTAACAAGATAATAACAACATTACACGTGACAATAAAAATAACAAAGGGAAACATTCGAAATAGACTTGAATATGATCAAGAACAACATGGCTAGCAATCTACAAATGACCACAACAAACATGAAGACAACAGTAAATTACACTACACCTGCCAGTATCTATGAGAATACAGAAACTCCTAATTTGAATACGAGCATGAAAAATGCCAATTTTACTGCAATAACAAATTCAAACGAGGTGACACATAGCCACACTATGAGTTCAACAGACACAAATATAAGCACAAAGAACTCAAATGTAACATGGGAAATGCCTGACTTCTGTAGATTCCCATACCATTCTTCAGATGGAGAACTAATTGAAGTGAACAGGTTCATAATGTACACCATGTATGATGTAGTAACAGCCATAGCTGTCACTGGACTAATTGGTAACACACTGTCATTCATTGTTCTGTATAAGGATAAAGCTAAAGGAACAAGTATGTTTTACTTCAAAGCTTTGGCCATTGTCGACTGGCTTGCATGTGCCTCTTACATTGCCTTTGAAATACATATTGTATTATACCCACATAGCCATGTACTGGACACATCACTAGATGCCACTCATGACATGATGATCATTGCTCCCTATACTCAATACACCATTTTGTATTTTACTTCATTGAGCAGTTGGATATTGGTAGCAATCTCGGTTGATCGCTACATTGCTATCTGTCATCCTTTACATGCTCCCAGATTCAGTACACTAAAAAGAGTTAAAGGTACCCTGGTTACCATAATTTTTGCTGTACTTTGTATTCATATTCCACGGTTTTTAGAGTACCAGATCACCAGAAATTCCCCTTTCCCACATCCATGTACATTGGAAGATTTCTATGAAATGGAGGCCACGCCCCTATATAAAACGAAAGGTTATATGATAGGGTTCAGAGTTATGACTTATAGTGTTCTAGCAACAGTTACTCCAATCGTACTTGTGCTCGTCCTGAACCTTATCCTGGTTGTGACAATAAGCAAAGCTGCAAAGAGAAGAGCTACGATATCCAATCGAGATCAGCCATCCAACAGGGCAGAAAGAAACTTAAGCGTAACTCTAATAAGTTTAGCAATTGTTTTTCTTATCTGTATGCTACCCTCCTTTATATACTCTTTCACTAAGATGATCAGCCTTATCGACAAAAAAATCATTCCTAGTGATGATAAAACAAGACTTCTGGAATTCAAAAATCTAATGAGAGTTCTGAATTCAGCAATTAATTTCTTCACATATTGTGTGGCAAGAGCGGGGTTTAGACGGAATCTCATCCGCATTTTGTGTAGGAAAAAGAAAAAGGAGTTATCCAGGAGTGATCTATATTCTATAAGAATGACTGAAATTGAAACAACTGTTTGAATTAAAAACATCTTCATTAGCTTGTTGACTCGATTAATAAAATATTTGTCACAACCAAGTTTACTATAAATATCTGTATTTCATTCAATTTAGTGATATCATTACTACACGCTTTTTTATCAAAAATGGACATACAGAAATACAAATATACAGTAACTTAACATACCATAAAAGCATGCAAAAAAGAAATCTCAGGTTACCTATGTATTCTATCTCTTCTATTATATTTAATATTGTGTCATTTTTATGATAGCTAGGTAGGACATGTAACTGTTTGGTATCATCAATATTTTGAAATAATAAATAACTTATAAAATCCAAAATGCGATTCTACTGATGTTTATAAATAGAAAACACATATAGTTAGAAGCCTGTTTGAACTGAAAACAAGACATAGGGTGAATAACATCTCACTTGATGGAATATCAAGAATAGGTTCGGATACAAAACTTTATGAGGGCAGAAAATTCAAACTGGCCGGGTTAAAATAAACCCAGCATGCTCAGAGGCTCAGAAGTTCTCGATTTCCATAGCAGGAAACATCCCTAAAATCAAATCAATCCCTGAAACAGTTTGCCTGGAAATGAATAGACAAGATCATTATGGATGCCCACCGTTCAAACTGATCACAATATACAAGGGGCGATCCATATATTCTGATAAAAATGCTCTCATTTTGTGATTTTTTCACATATCCCTTTCATTTTTTCAGAACATGTAGATTATGTAATTACACATAGGATGCTAAAATATTTTAGCTGTATCTTAAATTAATTTTGAAATAAGGTTGCCATGGTAACCTGTATTTAGGGTAGGCATGTCAGTTAAATTATAACGCATAAAATAGATAAATATGTTAATTTAATCATTCCTCGGTACCTATTTTAAGCAGATCAAACGCATCTTCCAGTCATTGTCAACTATTCATTTATCTGTTCCATACCCCTGTTGCCCTTGTTTGATAATTTATACAGTGGGATAGCTATCTTTTCATAAGTAACATCTCAATTTATTGTAGTGTTATTCTCTGTCCGCAAGCTCTTCTTGCAATCAGATTGCGGATGATCTTCAACAGTGACCATGTTTTCCTCTTTACAATACTACCTATATATTCTTTATGCAGATATAACACCTTGCCCATGCACTTTATGAGTCCATGTATGTCTCTGACAGTGTCCTCTTACTTATTCTTGAAAGAAAATCAAATCTAATGGTATTCCTTAATGTATCCGTTAATGTGACACTCTGCATCAGCCACATTAACCTAATCTGACAATTTGATTTTTGGTGTGTCTCATAACATGTAATGTCAATTGGCCCATTATGTCCTACAATGCTATTGTGATTTGTTATGATGTTATAGTGAGCACATATAAACATTTGTTTAGCAACAAACAACGAGTAACAATACCAAACCTTTTTAGAAAAATGCATGATTTCCGCATGGTTTAAAATAATTAAAATAACAAGTTATTTTGATATTTATATGTTATAATTAAATTGACCTGCCTACCCTTAATACAGGTTACCATGGCAGCCTTATCTCATTGATAATTTAAGATATAGCTATAATATTTTAGCATTGTATGTGTAATTACATAATCTAGATTTTCTGAAAAAATGAGAGGGATATGTGAAAAAATCACAAAATGAGAGCATTTTTATCAGAATATATGGATCGCCCCTTGTATAGCACCCAAGGGTACATTAATAAAATCAATTAATTTCTGAATGGAAACAAATAGTTCACTAAATATGAAGGAGTACAGATTTAGTAAATAAATAGATTATTCCATCAAATATTCATGACTAATAACATACTGTTATTACTATATATTACAATTAAACCACTTCTCTAAAAAGGATTGATAGTTAATACATTGGAAAACAAGGCATTAACATGCCATTTGTTACAAATGTCGAACACTAACTGCTGAATGCCAAACACAAAAAAGTTGGAGACTTTACCAATGTGTCACAACTTGTGTCACAACTTGTGGTGGTGACATAATATCAATACTTTGAATTTAATTTTTGCTTTACTGTAGTTCAAAATCAGTTGTGACAGAATGGTCTTATTTACAATGCATTGTTTTTCCCCATTAAATTGTATTTTATGAATTTGTATGTTATTAATTACATCAAGTGCTTATCAATTAGTGCAGCAAAGTACCTTTCCGGGTATTTTAACACGATCTTCACTCAGAATCCAGAGTTTGATCCAGAATCCAGAGTTTGATCTATCAAGTACAAAGAGAGACAGCTTAATAAAGGGTTACAAAGTCAAATAATGGAAATACCATACAAGGGCTGTTCAATTAATAGTGTCTATTATTTTGAAATAATCCAAACTTTGCTGAATATAACTAATAATGGGCAGCATTTTCTGCACAAAGCTTGACTAAAATCATATCCTTTGAGGGTGTATTATTGTCATGGAAACCAGTCATCACCAATTGCAGGGCATGTGACTTTAATGGCATTCTCAAGTGCATCCCCCATTAGATGCTTTGACAGAATTTGTTGGCAACACATTGTCATTCATTTTGTACAAGGATTGTACATTGTGTTTGAAATACATTATTATCTTCTTTCACCCATTAACTCATGTCATGAATAACATGATGCTTCATGTACTATGATTATCGCTTGCTGGAATTACAACATGCCTTTTAGAAAAGGCGTCTAAGGTTTTAACCTGGTTTGGAAAATAAGTGTAATCACGATTGTGGTTTTACAAAAGCACTTTTCCAAAACTCCTAGAACCCTTGTCACTAAATAAAAAACGCCTTAAATCGTGAGGCGCTTTGGGAGTGCAGTGTAAATGAAATAAGACTTATTTTGAATGCTACACATTTGGGCCACAGCAAAAATACAGGAAATGGTGGATGGGACCCCAAAAATGCAATAGGTCATCAAATATATCTCAAAAATTGAAAGTAAGTTCACATCACTGGCAAAAGACTCGGTTACGTTTTCTCTTAGATGCTAAAAGAATACATTTATTGTAGATGTACAAATCCACTGGATATTCTCCATAAATAAAATTCCTAAGCCGCTTTAGTAATGTTGGTGTAATCAAGATGGCGATTTTGTAAGCACTTTCAACTAAACCGCTTTCGCGTTTTTCTGGTGAAATTCCAACAACTAACACCTATACCTAATTATTAATGTTTTTTCTGAAATTACATATTTTTTCATTTATCTATAATGATCATATTTATTCAATTAAACAAATTATGATTATGGAAATAATTATCAAACCTAACCTTGTTCTTAAATGTTACAGTTTATTTTTTCGATACAAACTATCTCTGAACTAACATTGTTATTTTGCTGTGGTGTTGAACATAAAACTACATGTACCTAGAAAAAATTAGGGAACCAAATATAGATGGAACGTGGAAGTGTTCTCAAATATAAAGTACTGTTCCATTTTGATTTTAAACCCTATATAAAGATATACCCGCAAGCAAATGAATATAAATACAAGCTTTAAATTAAGCAAAAGCTGATTCATAAGCTATTTTAATCATATATATTAATGATATATACGTAAAGATAAATATGGGCCTTAAAAACAGACCTTTTGTGTCCTGTATAATGTCTAAATAAAATACAGAAACACAGGATGGAATAAGAGAGCATGCAAGGAGGGTTCAAGAATCACACAAAACTTTAACATGATCAAGTTCAGCGTGGCAGAGAAACATGGCATAAAGCTTTTGCGGTGATATAATAGCAGAATGTTAGTGAAGCTATTATACAATTTTACATTTGACAGAATAATTACTGTTACTGTATAACACAAGTCTATTCATTATACTAATGCTGAGAATAAATTAAAAAACACTTTTAAATCTACTGCTTGAACAAAATTAATAAACTAAAAGGAGCATGCCATTATCTAAAAAGATAATTAGATATCACATAATTTATCCTTATGGATGTCTTGTCAAAATATGGTATTGAAAAACTAGATATATCAAATATATTGTATAACGGTAATGTTAAAGGTCTATACGATTCAAAGAACAAAAAATATACAATCTATTTTATTACTAATACTATCCAGCTATAATCGAAACAACATCTACGTTAAAACAAATAAACTACATATCACAAGAAATAACAGATAAATATCTCAGTTGAATTATTTCTTGTGGAATGCAGAATTGAATTTTGACAGGTACACATAACTCATTGTCAACAAATTATTCTTGTTAAAACTAAGGACAGCCAAATCTATGCATTGCACAAAATTTGTTTATTTTCTTAAAATTTTGGCCCATATCGTAAATTTAATTTTGATGACCTAAATGCTCTTGCAATACTTCAGAAAAACTTCCCAGATGGACTATTGGCAAGTATATGTACCTGACCATCTATCATGATCCCTGTGTCAATATATAACATCTATAAAAGTTAAATGTAGTATGTACATGATATTTCTGATATATCTTACCTTATAGAGTTCTGTGGGGTCTGTGGTGAGATGTAGCCAGGATAGACATACATGAACCATACCAGTCTCCACATCTCCCAATGGCATCCACTACAAACACAATACATGCATATGTATATTAATTGCATCCTAAAATGATGACTCAGACATCATATACAAGAAGGGACAGCATGGATGATGTCTGGAGTCCTGTATTCAGAAGATGAATGGTAACCATGTATGGTTAAACTATAAAGCACCATTAAGTTATGATGATGATGCACTTCCCTCGCTGGTAACTTTCTTTTTGACTGCCATCTTTTAATAGTGATGACAACAAAACCATTAAATACACGAGATGCAGGTATAGGGTTAATTTTCAACATCAAATAATTCAAATTTAGCCAAAGTGACATCATATTTAAAGTTTGAAAGTTAAAACTAATAATAAATTTTCTAATCTTTATTTTCTTTGTAAGTTGGCTAGACTCCCTATAGAGCCCATGTTATAAAATCATGAACACAGAAATGTCTTCTTGTATTTAACAAATGATTTCTCTAACTGACCATATTTTAAATAGTTCAATAACAAAGCTTACAGCTCAAAATGTAAACTGATCCACTAAATCTTTTTAGTTTAATTAAATTTTTCAAAGTCTGCCATTGTCTGCCATGTTGTCTGATACATATTAGCCACCTGGTGGTGAAACTAGTATACAGCACTTTGGTAACTGAAATAACATTCTTAAGGAACAAAAACTTACAGAGTCAATCTCCCCTTTGTCAGCAACTGAGGCAATTTCTATACCAATACTGTAAAAAAACACAAATAAGGTTGCTAAAAGATTCAAAATACTGCATAAACATGTATATGTATTTAAGAGGGTGCCTATAAGAGTATACTGCTATAAAAATTGAAATGCATATGATTTGTCACGTTTAAATCAAGAATAGATCAAAATATGCAGTACAACTGATCTATAAAAATGAGATATAGAAAAAATGTAGACTCCAATTTACCTTCCCAATCTGTCATCTTCTCCAGGGTCTTCATCTTTAATCTCCAGCTCAAAGAATTGCCCAGATCTCTGATCCACAATGGCCTCAAAGTATGTGTTCCAGCCTGGTGTTACAGTATTCGGGATTACTTTGGTCTTGAACTTCTGAGCTCCAACTTAAACAACAAGGATATATGTTTGGGTACATGTATTTTCTCAGATCATTTCTAATGTACAACATACGGTGTTATAGTGAAATGAAATTCGTAGTGGGATTCTTCTATTCATTAAAAAATTGAATAAATACCCAACCTTCTTAGGATTGAGTATTAAAAGAAATACTGGTCAGTTTTTTTTCAAAAGCCAGTCATGGCCAAATAACCAGCAGCTTACACCCAATCAGATTTCAGTATCTCGACAAGATAAATAATAATAGAACTATATCTGGTATCGAATTGACACGCAGCTGGGGAAAGTAAGTCTGATTTCAGCCAATCCGAATACAGTATTTCATATGACTGTAGTGCATTATATCACCAATGTGTGAAAAGAGCTAAAGCCCAAGACTTCAATGCATTGTGGCTGATTCATTCCACTCAGCCGTTGTTTTCTAAACTTTGCATTCCCCCTGCATGGTAAAGCAGATTTGGAAACACCTTCAGTGGAATGATTCAGCGCACGATGCATCGAGTTCAGGGCTTAAATCCTTACATATATCATATCATATCATATGTATTTATCATAGCAAATACATTTATAGGATCTGAAAGTGTTTAAATATATTCCTACCATGTATAACAGCATATGGGTCAGATTTGCCTTTCCCTAGGAGTCCAATATCAGCTCTCTTTAGATCTCTTGCTCCAATGATATGCATCCTTAAAACTCCCTTAACACAAACAAGACAATAATATTATAAAATGAAAGAGGGTCTCAACCAAGCAACATTGATTTACTTTCTAAGTTTTAGCTTCATAAAGGCCAAATAATACATCCTAATAATAATTATTTTAAAGTCTCAGTTGCAAAAATGATACCTTGCTACTCGAGGAGAAAATTAGACCCTTAAAACACAATCACTATTACATCGTTAATGCAGACACTGTGCTCAATGTATATACAAGGCATTAACATTCAAAATGTCACCACCTGCCATTTGACACAGATGCCGAATGCTGACCACCAACCGCCGAACCCTGTCCACAAAAAGTTTGAGTCTATAAAAATATGTCACCAAAGAGGTAGTAACATGAAACCAACAAATAATGCTACTATTACACTTACTTGAGGAGTTGGGAACCTGAGGGCCTGTAGGTTAATACCCTCTGCCAGCTGAACTGGGATCCTATTGGGCAACACAAGGAATGCAGCAATCTGGTCCTCTATAATGTTACGTACAATGTCACTGAAAATGAAAAAGAGAGTTACTGTTAGGCTATAAATATAACCAGGTTTGTATTTATTTTTACATAGTTCAACATTCCAGTTATAGTTTTGTGTGACAGTTTCATTATACTTATTCATGGGTCTAGAAAAATGAAAAATAAATCAAAGATCAAATATGAAACTCTGATCAGTAGAGCAGCATGTCAAGTAAAACCACTCCCTGAACATATACCAATACACTCCTTACTCTATTTTGTTCTTATGTTGAACGATTCGAAAGAGAAAGCTGTAACACATACCTTAGCCCAGGAATATCCAAAACATTTCCCAGGTCAGTAGAATTGAACTCAACAGACTGAAACAAAAATATACAATGATAATTCCTATTTTCTAATCTTCATATTCATACCAGTGTTGTGATTACGTAATATAAGAAATAGTGTTAATGGGAGGGGGGGGGGGGGTTGGCTATATTCTTAATTTAAAAAAATATGCATTGATAACTGCTATTTTGTAATCTTTATATTCATACCAGTGTTGGGATAAAATAAAATTAATTGGCAATTATGGTTTATGGGGGTTTGGATTTATTCTTAATTTAAACTTCTAATTAATAGCTATTAGTACACCATGCATGACTATGTGGGAAATAACAGACATAAAAAAATGTAGATATAAATATCGAAGCAATATTTAATTTCAGCATACAACACTATTCATTAATAAATTCAACTTGATGTAATTTGTTCTGTAATGGAATATAACTGAGTGGTAGGTTTGTATTATTAAAACTTGCCAGTATATTCTAGCTGTGAAAGTAAATTACTTTGCAGATCCTTTTCAATATATCAAATAATCATTTTGCTCACAAAAAAATCCAAACATATTCTTCTTAATTGATGAATGATGCCAGAGACATTTTATATGATGACTTATTTATTTATTATGCATCCAGTATGTGCAGTTTATTATTTAGCCATATGTTGTATCTACCATTTATACTATACAACTCATTATCCACTTCCCTTATAAGGTGCATACAATGATAAACTCCCATTAATTATATATTAGACTTAACAAATAGATTTTGTAAATGCAAGCCCCTATGTTATTCCCGAAACTAGTAAAATTACAATCGAGAGCCCTTTTGAGAAAAAAACTGGGAGATCATTCCATTTGTTGATTCTATTTGTTGATGAAAAACTTACAGGTGGATTAAGGAAGAATACAGTAATGCCCCCTATTAGGGGTGACACTGGGATCAGGGGGCTCATGACCACCCTCATTGTGCCATGGATCTGCAGCTCTTTGATACCAGCTGTGATGTTCTTGATGTTAACCTTCACTTGGGCATCACTGGCATAGCTAGAAAATATAAGAATAATTGTGCAATTAAGATTCTGAGCACACAATTATCATGAAGCAGTACACTTAATTAATAAAAAATCTGCCTTTTTATTTTATCATCTATTACTAAATCCTAATGAAAATTCCTTCAATGCATGGTACATCACATGGAACATACACAAATGGTGATAAAGCTTACATCTGAAGCATAAAATGTCCACCATTTTTTGGGTATTTTCATAAAAAGTGGATTAGTTTTCACACGGCCTTCATATTTTTCTAGTGAAATTCACTGGATTATCGTGTTACTGTTCAGTAAAGACATATCCCTCAGGAAAATATTGATATTTACCAGAGAATACCATATCCATTAGGCTAGTCTCTCACATTCAAATAATTCACTTGTATTTAATGACATATACGCTTGAGAAAATATAATTTTATCTTCATGCTATATGTACATCATTCAAACTGACCAAGCTTTATAGCTACGCCACAACTTGAATAAATGATGTAATTTTCTGCAGCTCTTTCCAACTAGGAAGCTTAGAATGATAGCTGCAATTGATCATCGCCATGCATAGCATCAAGTAACATCTTATTCTAGCAAAAAGTTGATGTGACATTCAGCAAGGAAAATGAGTTGGCCGTTTTGACATAGCAATTTCCATATAACAGGAGAATGGATACTAGGGATTGCAAATCTGACACTTATATTCTTTCCTTGGTAAATCTCTTCCATTCCCCCTCCCACCCATAAACAACATACACTACAATGTGCATGGACTCAATGTTGCATGAAAAAATAAGTTCAACCTTAGAATGAAATACCATGAGATACATATAAGTAAAAAAGAATCAACATGAAATATCATAGTATCACTAATCATATATCAGGTGATATATAGACATTTTGAGAGGAAATGAATGAACAATTGAAAATATAATTATAGTTAATGTTATATTGAATTCATTCAGGATATGATCTTCATACATAGATTCTGAACAATATGTGGATGAATCACCTTTATTTGATTGCAAATTGTATCATTGAATTGTATAAATACATTCGTGTCAGAGTGATCTACTCTCATCTATCTATTAAATATTCAACAAACTCATTGTATTACATGGACTGTAAAAGAATTTAATAACACAAAATAAATGTTTTACTCAGTTACATTTAATGTATACCATACATTACTAGAATAACCAAGCTATATAAAAAAAATGATAGTAGTTGATGAAATCCCAATACATACATAATCCTTTTATCAACTTTTGTTCAGAGAAAAGGTCAATGTATCGTTTTACATCCACAAAACTCATTAAAAAATGTTTTATAATAGCATATGATACTGAATTTAAGGTAAAATAAAAAAAATATACATGTATGTTCAATCTTTTATTGACTCTTCAGATGTCATGAATAACATAACTAGATATAGGGGCTTAGGGATGTCAATCTGTATGAAATTACATTTGGGGATCTCTATAATAATGTAGTTTCTTTTTGTAGACTTACTAGATTTCTAGATCCATCACAATTTCATCCCGGCTCACATGCTCTGTATAAACCTTGACCCCTCCAATCCTGGGAGGCTACAAGAAAACATAACATTTGATCAAAACAAGGCAGAGGTCAAATCTAGCTTTTTATCTTATTTTAGGTTCGGTTACCTTAGTAGTGGCTTAGTTTTTGTGCCATCTTAAGACGACATTTAATTGTTTAATCCACTTCAGATTCAAGGTTTTATATGAGTAGTATACTCATTACTCAGTAGTATACACATTACTCAGTAGTATACTCATTACTCAGTAGTATACTCATCACTCAGTAGTATACTCATAACTATGTATTAGTTTTTACAATTTCAATTGTCAAATGTCTTATCTGAAATCATCAATTCAATTTTGTGCATGATAAAGTAGCCATTTTGAGTTAAGATTCTCAACTGCTGGAATCTGGGGTGCTGAGAACAGAGCAAGACACATAATCAATATTGGCAAAATATGATTACAAATGAATAATACTAAAAACATTGCAGAATTGATGATCTATTATATCACCAACACCAAATATGAATAAGACTTACAATATCTCCAAGGTCAATTGTCTCAAATGCAAAAGATTTGAGCGCAGAGGGCAGGTTGGCTTTCACTTGTGGTTGTACTGTCTCCACCAAGATCTTCTTCACATAATCTCCAATAAATGGCCATAACTGCCCAATGATCTGGAAAATAATTTTACTTGGAATAGTCCAGTAAAGTGGCAATAATAAACTGTGGTAGAGAAAGTGGAAGTATTGTGATTTTTAGATATTTTCAAGGAATTGTTTTAGATTATTTAATTATATCATGAATTTGGGAGCACATTCATTTTAACATACTAACACAAAATATATCCTTCAAATACAACTGGCCTAACAAGTGTTTAATGAGATTTTAAGCTCTTAAAACTGCAGGTCTAATGGAGAGCTGATACATAAATAAAAAACACTTTCACAGTCTAGTAGGAAAATAATGCTACATAACTCATCATTCATACTCAACTTATAATTAATATGGCATTAGCATCAGGAAATATTAAAACAGCAGTCTTTGTCTAAACCATTAGGTCAACATGATATTTTTAATACCATAGTCTATTGGAATGAAATCCACCTTTTCTATCATTCCAAGGAATAAATTTTATATTTTCATCTTTTAGTACTTACATTATTGACCCATTCTGCTCTTTCAATATCTGGGTAGAAAACCTGAAGAAAAATAGAAAATCAATGATTATGATAGAAAATATTTTTCTTACAAGGTTATATGAAAAAATGATGTAACCTTCATTTTTAAAGGGGGCAGTCTATTTCAATAAAGAAGACAATGATTGAATATCATTAAATTATCATTGTGAAGCCAAGGCACATATGTAACATCTTGCACACAAATTTAATTCTCACAACACTAAGTACATTAAATGTATTTTGATATGCTTTTTAATTGACCTGAGGATGCATAATGCTCAGCTCAGTATATACGAGCATTATCATCTTATGTAATATTATATACTGTACCACACATGACAACATCAATATTACAACCATTTGCCAAAAAGATTATCATTAAAAAATAGGATTCAATATGGTACAAAAAAGATCATGGTCAGGTTCAAATGAATGCGAAAATAGCATTGTATTACATAATCCTGGGGAGTATCATTATGACAAAAAAATGGCAAAACCTTGAGATACAGTCGGAGGCTGATCTCCTCTGGTGATGCCCCTTCTATTTTAATCAGATGTCATTGGAGTACCCAGGGATGAGAAAGAAAAATATTGATGAAATAGAGACATTTTCTCTAAAAACTTACTGACACACTAATACTTATCCAAAATTAAAAGTCTCATAATGACACTTTGTTGACTTTAACTAATATTTTGTCTCATTTATTTAATTTGCCTCATCTATTTTTGTGACACTGGCTATACCTCATGATACACACGGGCTATACCTCATGATACACACTGGCTATACCTCATGATACACACTGGCTATACCTCATGATACACACTGGCTATACCTCATGATACACACTCGCTATACCTCATGATACACACTGGCTATACCCCATGATACACACTGGCTATACCTCATGATACACACTGGCTATACCTCATGATACACACTGGCTATACCTCATGATACATACTGGCTATACCTCATGATACACACTGGCTATACCTCATGATACACACGGGCTATACCTCATGATACACACTGGCTATACCTCATGATACACACTGGCTATACCTCATGATACACACTGGGTATACCTCATGATACACACTGGCTATACTCCATGATACACACTGGCTATACCTCATGATACACACTGGCTATACCTCATGATACACACTGGCTATACCTCATGATACACACTGGTTATACCTCATGATACACACTGGCTATACCCCATGATACACACTGGCTTTACCTCATGATATACACTGGCTATACCTCATGATACACACTGGCTATACCTCATGATACACACTGGCTATACATCATGATACACACTGGCTATATCTCATGATATACACTGGCTATACCTCATGATACACACTGGCTATACCTCATGATACACACTGGCTATACCTCATGATACACACTGGCTATACCTCATGATACACACTGGCTATACCTCATGATACACACTGGCTATACCTCATGATACACACTGGCTATACCCCATGATACACACTGGCTATACCTCATGATACACACTGGCTATACCTCATGATACACACTGGCTATACCTCATGATACACACTGGCTATACCTCATGATACACACTGGCTATACCTCATGATATACACTGGCTATACCTCATGATACACACTGGCTATACCTCATGATACACACTGGCTATACCTCATGATACACACTGGCTATACCTCATGATACACACTGGCTATACCTCATGATATACACTGGCTATACCTCATGATACATACTGGCTATACCTCATGATACACACTGGCTATACCTCATGATATATACTGGCTATACCTCATGATATATACTGGCTATACCTCATGATACACACTGGCTATACCTCATGTTACACACTGGCTATACCTCATGATACACACTGGCTATACCTCATGATACTGTCTGCAAACAATTCTACCCTGCGGCTTTATTTGAGCTAAATATTTTTAATCATTCAATGGACAGTAAAACCTGTCTTTTGTACTCTATAAAGTGTTCCCCTAATAGGAGGTGTTCCACTTATTTAGGTTCATTCAACATTAAGTCAGTTGGTATTTGAACTCCAAAAAGTGTTCCACTTACAGAGGTGTTCCACTTTACAGGTTACACTGTATAACATTGTAAATAACCTATTACTATCTAATGTACATGTTTACACCAACTTGTAAGTAATTTAAGATTTTCATAGGATGTGCACAGCATCCTATCAACTTTATTCAACTACATGAGGGCTTTATAAACTATAGTGTTTTTATAGTGTTTAGTAGTTTACTGTACAAAATGACTTTTTATGACTGTTATTGCTGGAACACATTCAACTTCAAGTTTTATCTTTCATATCAAATTCCATTTTATAAACTGATTCAAACTAAGCTAAAATAATAAAAATATATGGGAAATGTCATTCTAACATAATTTTAACTAAAATATTTCAATTTTGAACTTTGTATTTCATAACAATGTGTAAATACTAAAAAAAGAAAAAATTATGTATTTCATTAATTATCGGTAAAATTAGATGAACATACTCATCATGTGGCTCTATCTTAACTAGAAAACAGCAACTCCAAGGAGTACCAAATCCCACCAAACAAAACATAACAGGAAATAACAGGAGTAGTGTCTCCTTATTAGTAAAATCTGCACCAAAGATGTGATTTAAGCAATCGTATAAAATTTTCTTTAAATCCAACAACTGGTATTCAATCAAAGGTTACATTTTTTCATGAAAACGGAACCTATTTTGAATTGAGCAGTCATTCCTTCTAGAGCTGAGGTTCTACACCTATAAGCCATAAGCCTATAAAATTAACCAAATCTGTCAACTGGTTTTTGAGTTATTGCCCAGACAGATGAACAGACAGACCAATGGCTTTTCTATATCCCTACAACTTCATTCAGTGGGATAACATACAAGCGACTCTAATCTTTCCACATTAACTGATTTAGGGAATGTTTTTATCAGTAACCTGACTTCAAGTTCGAAGTAATCTAAATATAACTTATCCTATCATGATTTAAAAATACAGTAAAACCTAGTTTAAGTGGAAAACCTTTATATAAGTAGAACACTGACTTGAGTCCAGTGAACCATAACTTGGAACACCTCCTAAGATGAACACCTTTAACTAAAACAAGATGTTTCATTTACAATAAGTTTTGTTGAAGTTGAATATTGTTGAGCTGAAGTGAAGAAAAATATACTGTATAAAGTGTTGGATGTATCTTTTTGGATTGAATTTTTTCTCTTAGGGCAAATGCAACTATTACTTCTGTAATTTACTCATGTAGTTAATATCAAAGGTTAAGTCAAAATGTATATTGTGAACCTTCAAGATATCCTTAGTTTATCATGTCTTGATTCTTGACCTCATCCCCATTCTTCAAATGTTGATTTCCAAACAAGAATGTATGACAATCGTCAATGGCAAACATCAAAAGCACTATATCAGTAAATTACCATCGAGTCTTACTCCCCCTCACTAAACTTTAGTTGGAGGCTGATTTATTCATTGGGCTCTTCGTTTAAGTGCAATATCAAACAACAAGCTCATAAAATCACATAAAAAAATGTCATAATGTCAATGCATAGCTACAACGATAAAAATTAGCATTTTCATTGAGCTTCATGTTGTTAATGTTAAATTGTTAAACCCACCCTTTTTGTTTTTTAAGATCTGTATTAATCACTGAAGTTTATCAGATAATGGACTGGGGGTTCTGAATTTTTATGCAATAAGAACTATCATCATGCACATATGGTATATATATTCAATAATGAAGCAATGGTGACTGTTAATTATGTAAAATGAAAGTAACTATAACCCCACAGTCCATGGCAATCTGTAATTCCAAATGAAGAGATTACCATGGTAATCCATGATAATGTTAAAATTGATTGCATTTTTCACATAATCAACAGTAAACATCATCTAATTTGTAGAATCCAGAAGTGCATACAGGTGTATATATACTTTTAGAAAACTGATTTAAGTAATAAAGAAACCTGTATCATTATTTAATTGAAATTTAAAAGCATGAGAGCATACATTAATCAATAAACAAGATGCATGAGGGTGGAGGCCAGTGTTTCATATTGTATTGTACTTGTGATACAACCCCTCTTAAAACATATCCTATGTCACGTGATAGTATAGTTTGTTATTAGATTGTATTACATACACACCCTTCACTTGTATGCTTGTAAGCTACCAATAAACAGCTCTTATTAGAAATAGATATTACAACAACTATATGACTCGACTCTTGTTTCATATGTAGTAATATTATGTAACATGGCGGCAGCGGAGCAGAACTGACTGTATCTCTCTGGATAAAACTCTAAAAATGTAAAAAGTCTCTCTGGATTTTACATTAATAACTCAGTCTCTGGATAAAAAGAACTCTTGCTCAAAATGGCTGAAGCTGAACAATTACAAGTCGAAACGGAACCAGCAGACCGTAGATATCAGAAAGTCAGTGGACTTCATCCTCCAAACAAACTGGATATAGAGAATCTCTCTGAAAACTGGAAACTTTGGAAACAACAGTGGGAAAACTATTGTATACTGGCAAATGTTGAAAGCCAAAGTGAAAAATACAAGATTGCACTATTTCAACATGCAATAGGAGCAGATGCCCTAAAAATCTATAATGGACTTCCATTGGCAAATGCGGAGATGATGACACTTGAAGATATCATAAAAGCATTCACGGACTTTGCGCTTGGTGAAGTCAATGAAACCTATGAACGGTATAAGTTCAACTCTAGAAAGCAAAAAGAAGAGGAATCTTTCGATACATATTTGTATGAGTTGAAGGCTCTCCAGAAAACCTGTGGTTTTTGTGATTGTTTACGTGAATCACTACTACGTGATCGTCTTGTGCTTGGTATCAAAGACTCCAAGGAAGGTACCACAAGGAAACGTCTGCTGGAGGAACGTGATCTCACTCTAAATCGGTGTATTGACATCTGTCGTAGTGCCGAAAGTAC